GGAGCAGGGGGGAGGGCGCGCACATGCACGCCCGCATGCACGGGGCAGGGTGCATAGAATTATGGGTGTGGGCACGCACGTGAGCAAACCTCCTCTGCCCCCCCCTTCCTGGCACGCGATGGCAAAAAGGTTAGCCATCACTGACCTATACTATTTCAAATAAGTGGCTGTCTACTCTCTTCTTAAAAACCTCCAGTGTTGGAGCACCCAAAATTTGTAGCATCCTACAGTCGTGTGACTTCGATTTATGACATTTTTGCTGAAAACTGGCAATTCCACCCTGTTTTCAGCAACAATGCCCCAGACAAAAAATGTCTGGGTTCACTTAAATGTCCGCCACAAAAAAAAAAGAAAAAAAAAAAGAAGACATAAAATCAGGGTAATGATGTGGGTGACCTGCTTTATGACTGCCAGGCCATAATGGGGAGATTCCATTATGGTTGTAAGTTGAGGATTGCCTGTAGTCTAAAAGATTAACCACTGGGTTGAAGGCGATGACTTTGTGTTGCAAATTCACAGCCATAATTGTGCTCCTGACTCACCAAAGTTTCTGTTGACTGTGGAACATTTAAAAGCTCTTTGTCAGCCCAGTGGAAACAATCACCAAAAGAGGACTAGGCTCCTCTATTACACAAGCTGAATTGCAGGGCTCAATTCCAAATCCAAAGGCAGAAGTCTTCGATTTACGACCACAATTGAGCCAAAATTTCTGTCGTTAAGTGAGACATTTGTTAAGTGAGTTTTGTGCCCCATTTTATGACCTTTGTTGCCACCGTTGTTAAGTGAATCACTGCAGTGGATAAGTTAGTAACCCAGTTGTTAAGTGAATCTGGCTTCCCCATTGGCTTTGCTTGTTGGAAGGTCGCAAAAGGGCGATGACCCTGGGATACATCAGTGGTTGTAAATATGAAGCAGTTGCCAAGCATCTGAATTTTGACTGCATGATCATAGGCAGTGGTGAGATACTGCCGGGTTTAACAATTGGTTAGGTGAGCGCGCACGCACCTAAGGTGCTTGTGCGCAGCGCTGAAAATGGAGCATTTAGAAGATCAGCTGCTTACATTCCAAGTCAGCAACGGTAAATAGAACAGTGAGTGGGGGGGAATCAGTTGTGCCGCATGATTTTTTTTTTTTTGAAATTTTTTTAAACATACAACATAAAACACATCTTTTTAGAGCAAGGATTTGATCCGGTATAAAATAAGTACAATTACTCACATTCCCTCAACCAATTTTGTTCCAAATTTTATCCATTTACATCTTAAAAAAAAAAAAGAAAGAAAAAAGAAAAAAAAATCTTATTCTAAACATTTATCATTCTACTATATCACCCAAAATTCTAAACAATTATTTCCAAATAGACACCATTCCAAATCTTTGTCATTTTAACAATCAATATTTCATATATATTCCTCATTCCTAAGACCCATTACATCAAATCTATATTCTACTTCTCTTAAATGGCAGCTAGTATCCATGATCTTGACAAAGAATATTTTCCTCCTCTCTTAAAGTCATTTCAAAATCAATCAACATTTCCATCTATAATTTGTTACTCCCAAAATACTTTGTTTACTTCAGGCTTATTCTCAAATACTATTAAGTCTGATATTTAGCTGGTTCATAATTTAAGTAGCTATTTCCCAGCAGTATTTTCCACCACTTCTATCTCTATTTGTTTAACTGGTTCACAGAGTTGTGCCGCATGATTGAGATGAGCTACAAAGCAGGAAATAAAGGACAGGATAGAGCGGGGGCGGGGCCAACTGATTGTCAGAGCTACCATTTCGTCCGAACCAGCTGAATACCACCTCTGTTCATAAGGATGCTGCAAAGGTTGTAACTGAAAAATGGTCATAACTCACTTTTTTTCAGCCCCGTTGTAACTTTGAAAGGTCACTAAATGAACTATTAAGTTGAGGACTACCTGTAACGGTTTCAAGTTCAAAAGGAGCCATTGGGAGTTTGAAGTGTTTAATAATTCAAACAGATCTTTCGCGCACAAAATGTTTTCTGTACCACTGCTAGCTATTTGTTCCGGATGGTATAATTTGGAGCCTGCACTGAGCAGAAGTTGGATTTGATGTCTTAAATGGCTCCTTTCTACTTTCTAAATGCGGATGCAGAATTGGGCAGAAATAAGTACTGGCTACCAACCATGATCCCCGAGAAGGCATTTTTAACACATCTGGCACAAGAGGCTTTTAACGTTCCAAATTCTTTGTGTCTAAAATAACGATGATGTCATGCTGAATTTCTAAATGGCTTTAGGATTTGCATCTGGTTTTTAACAGCCAGAAGGCCCAGGTGTACATAGGACATAAATGAGCAGAAACTATCTTGTCATGGTCTTTAAATAGCCAAGTATCTAAAAAAATATGCATAGTATTAAGTTCTGTTTGATTGGACATATGTAAATATTTTGATATTTGAAATCACTTCCCCTGCAAAGGACCTTTATAAAAAAGTATTGGAGACAGTCGCATTCTGTGCAGTCGATCCAAAAGAAATCAGGAATGAGTTTAGGGTTTTCTGTGGTTTTTTTTTTTTTTGCAGTAGTTATCTATCAGAATAACAGAGTTGGAAGGGACTTTGGAGGTCTTCTAGTCCAACCCCCTGCTCAATAGCAATAGCACTTAGACTTATACACCACTTCACAGTGTTTTACAGCCCTCTCTAAGCGGTTTAGACTCAGCATATTGTCCTCAACAATCTGAGTCCTCATATGACCGACGTCGGAAGGATGGAAGGCTGAGTCAACCTTGAGCCGGTCAGAATCGAACTGCTGGCAGTCGGCAGAATTAGCCTGCAATACTGCATTCTAACCACTGCGCCAATATAGCTCTTAAGCATGAAACTATATAACATTTCAATGTTTTAACATTTCAAACTTTATCACTTGGTGTTTGTCTAGGTGGTACTGCTGGGAAAATATAATGCTCAAGGCCTGGGCTTGGACCACGAACTGATGTTGAGGTGCACCAAAGGACAGGAATACATCAAAGTGGTGATGCAGAATGGGAGAATGCTGGGAGCAGTGCTGATAGGAGAAACGGATTTGGAAGAAACCTTTGAAAACTTGATTCTGAATCAGATGGATCTCTCCCGTTACGGCGAAGACCTTTTGGATCCAAATATTGATATTGAGGATTATTTCGATTAAACATCTGGAGGAAAAATCAGTGACCTAAGACTGTTTTTCTGAAAAAACAAAACAAAATGATTTTCCTGAACTGGGATGGATTTAGACTTGGCGTAATCTCCATTTCAAAGGCATGCGGAATCTGACAAACTTATTTAAAAGTACCCCTTTATCATCCAAAATAATTTATGGTATGAATGGTTTACACTCTGGAATAAAACAGCAACTTGATCCTAGCTAGATGATGGCTGACTTATTTTCGAATGCTGTAATGGCTCCTCTCGAACTCTCTCCCCTCAAAAGCTGATGTGTAAAATGCTTAACTGTTTAACAAAATTTTATTTACCGTATTTTTCAGACTATAAGACGCACCGGAGTATAAGATGCATCAGGATTTCGAAGAGATAAACAAGAAAAAAAAATTTTTTGCCCTCCCCAGGCCCCAGGAGCACTCTGCAGGCCTCCTAAACCCTCTGCGCATCCCGTTTTTGCGAAAAACTGGTCCGCTTTTTGCAAAAACGGGACGTGCGGGGCAGGGTTTTAGGAGGCCAAAAATGGCTGTATTCGGTGTATAAATTGCACCAACATTTCCATCCTCTTTTATGGGGGGAAAGTGTGTCTTATACTCCAAAAAGTACAGTAAACGATTAGATTGAATGCTCTGAAAGGCCAACCCGATGCATGAAGTTTATTTCCACATTTCAAAGTATTTCTAGCAGGATTACCAGATTCTGGAACAGCTTTGCTCCCTATGCCATCAGTCTTGTAAACTCGCAAGATTCGTTTTTCTTGACCCATTGAGACTTTCTCTTTCACTCAGGGAAGGAGAAGTGAGGCTTAATACAATGTGGGAATAGAGTCTGTGTTTTTATAGCAGGCCTAATTGTTTACAATTGAACTTCACATGCTTAAGTTTTCTGTAAAGAATCTGTGGGAGCCCAGGTTCTACATAAGATAATCATTATATTCTAACTCTTTTCTAAACTAAACTATATTTTCCTTTTAAACTTTTAGGGCAGTTTTCAGAATTTCAAGGCAGCTTCTTGATATTCTGGGGACAATACCTTTGATTTGATAATAAAGGACATCTATTATAGGGGTTTTTTTTTAAGTCATTTCCCTTGACTTAAAAAAAAACCTATAATAGTTTTACATATTATGTAAATACATAATATATATTATGTATAATACATATAAATATTAAGTATTAAGACTTAAGCCATAATTAAAACTTTTTAGAGATATTAAAATGACCAGATTCAGATACTGCTCCAATTTAATAAACATTTACTTTGAAGTAGCATTTCTATACTTAAAAACCAAGATGAACTCTAAATCCTGAAGGTGTTTGTTGCTTACAGCCCTTCATTTAAGAGCACCATCAAATAGCTGAGTTAAAAAAGTAAAGGGCTACTTTGAGCTCAATTCAGTGGTGGGTTGCTACCGGTTCGTGCTGGATCGGGCAAACCGGTAGCGGCGGTGGGAGGCTCCGCCCACTCGCCCAGATGCTTCTGCACATGTGCAGCTTCTGTGCATGCACAGAAGCGCCGTGTGTGCACACACAAGCGAACAGGTAGCGACGGGATTTGGAACCCATCCCTGGCTCAATTACATGACAATCTTTTGTGGTGTAATTAGGGAACCTGAGTGCTTGTACAAAACCAGCCATATCTTCAAGACATCATCAACATGGAGAATTTACTTTATGATTACTTTAAAAAAATGAAAGTAGTACTAATGGCACTGTATTTTATGTTCATAGATTTTTTCTACAGATGAAAGGGTCTCTTTAAGTATCAGAACCCAAAGCCTTCAAGCGTTCTTCCCCATTAAAAAAAAAACAACCAGTTTCTCTTCACATTTTAAATCAGAAACTTTATTCTACATAAATCCACTCAGCTACGTCTTTTAGGGATAGAAGCTAAAATATGCACCCCATCGAATATTTATACCAGAACTAGATTTTTATCTGCAATCACTGGATCTCTCAGCCTTTCAGGAATTACTTTTGACATTTGATATGTCAGAATAACTGGACTTTTCAAGGAGAAGCGAGTGTATAAAGTTGCATTTCAAGGCATTTTTATTTCAGCAGCAAATTGGAAGAGTTCGTGCCAAAGAGGAGCCTCCCTTCTGGAAAAGCCATTTCATTTTTTAAAGACAGGCTTACTTTCCTCTATGCCAAGCCTCTAACGCTTGCCTCAAACTTTCCAGTTCTATTACCGTGGGTTTTATATCTGCACTTTTTAAAAAATCTGACAGTGTGTATGTATGTTTAAAAACATAAGGAAAGCAGTTTCTTTTGCCAACATGGCTTAGTGGCCAGGGAACAGCAGGTAATAGCAGTCACCAATACGTGGCCTATTTTCTCCAACCAAATTCTTTTCCTGACTCTCTGGCCTGTCTTCCCAAGGCAAAGATGTGTGTAGGTTGTCCCAAGAAGCAACTTTCTTAATCTATGATCACAAGCTCATCTTCCTCTTTATTAGCCGTAAGTTTGACTTTTTTTGCTTTAACTTGATCTTTTGAAGGAGAGTCACCTTCCTGGTTTGGGGATGTAAACTTCATTTTCTTTCCTGGGGTCCTCGGACTGGATAATTGAGAACATTTCCCCTGTTGATGAAGCCATTTTTAACATATTAGAGCAAATACAAACTTTACATGGGTAATGCTTTTCTGAATCTTCTTGAAAGTTCTGGCAAATATCTATATATAAAAAAATGGCTCTGTGTGTGTTCCAGCATAATTCTGGAACGCTTCGATCAATTTCAACTAAACTTGGTACACAGATGACTTACTCTCTGGAAAAAATACTGTGGGGGTAAGACACCCCTAGCACCCCTCAGTGTGTGTGTGTGTTCCAGCATAACTCTGGAATGCCTGGGCTGCTGAAATGAAAAGGAATGAATTGTATCTATAGAGTCAAATCACAGTACTTTTGACAGTGATAGTGTGCATTTTGGATTCAAGTTCTGTTAAGATACAGCCTGTTGTGCCTTGAAATGGCTTCTACTGTACAGCACAGTGGAGTTGCCATGGTAATGGCTTCACAGTACTCCACAAGGGGGCTCCCTCTGGTAAGGGGGATTGGTTCTTAAAAAAAACCCACCCTAGGTCCTCAGCTTCAAGCAAAGAGGGCAAGTTGTCAGGGGAGGTGCCTGCTAATGAAGATAATCACCTCAAAGGCAGGATTGGGATAAATAAATACCTGGGCAACGCCAGGTTATCAGCTAATAGTTCCATAAAAAAGCAACATTTTGCCTTTCTCTGAGATAGGCTATAGGGATAGAAAAGGCATTGCTCTGATTAGACTAATAGCAGGCCTTCTAAATATGATCAACTCAAATCAATATGACCACTGCCAAGAGATTTTTGATAGCCGTAGACCAAACCTTTTGGAGGACACCTGATTAACTTCTCTAGAACTAGATATTAGCAATACAGGAAAGTGATAAAACGATGCGAATGTGTTTCAAATATTTGAAGCTTGTAGATCTATTACCACGCCATATCTCTTTGGAACTGATCGCGGAATCATTTAGCTGACACACGAGTCACATTTTAAAATGGTGGCATTTAATTCAGCCTCCCAGCAGCCTTTAACTTTATTATCTGCTCAGACCAGTAATTTAATGTTTGTGAGTTTCACAAAGCTGAGACCTCATGTGACTGCACAGATTCTACTTTAATTGTTCAAGAAATCATGCATCAAGTAGTTACTTGTGTAAATTGCTCCCAGCAGTGGTATTCAACCGGTTCGGACCAGTTCAGGCGAACCAATAGCGCCGACGATCAGCTGGCCCCGCCCACCCGGCCCCGCCCTATCCTGTCCTTTATTTCCTTCTTTCTGGCTCAGCTGATTTGCGTGGCACAGCTGATTTCCATGCCTCCACTGTTCTACTTACTGGGGCTGCCTTAGAAGGTAAGCAGCTGAGCTTCAAATTGCTGTATTTTGAACACTGCGCGCAAGCGCTTTAGGTGCGCACGCTCACCGAACCAATTGTTAATCCGGTTGCATCCCACCACTGGTTGCTCCCCTTACACAAACACAAGTTCAGGAAAAAAAGTATAGGGTGGAATTTTGAAACAGTCAGTTCTTGCTACAAGCTCACTGGCCCAAGGAAAACTGCAGCCACATCAAAATTCAAATCTCATTGAGTTCTATTATCCTTGGAAGATTCAAGACTAACAGAAACTGTCTTGGGAAATCAGCTCCAAGTAGAAACAGCTGCCTGTTCCAGAATTCAAAATTACCACCTTGATATTCCTGGGAAGGCAGCAGAGCTACGAGAGGCTTCTCAATTTGTCTCCAAGTTCTATCAGATAGAAATCAGGCAAAGATAACGAATAGTAACATCCTAAGGCGCTTCTCAGCAATATAAGCAGGGGTGAAATGCTCCCGGTTCGGACCGGATCGCCCGATCCAGTAGCGATGGAGGCAGGTGGTTCGGAGAACCAGTAGCAAAAATCCCTTCCCCCCCCCCTCATGTCCAGCTGAGCCGCACAATCATCAGAGGCTTTTTTTTTTACTTTTAAAAGCATTTTTTCTACAACCTCTTTGGCCAAAAAAATGCTTTTAAAAATAATTTTAAAAAAAGGCTCTGATGATCATGCGGCTTAGTTGGGATCATCAGAGGCATTTAAAAGAAAAAAAGGGTTTTTTTCTTTTAAATGCCTCTGATGATCCCAGCTGAGTTGCCTGATCGGCAGAGGCTTTTTTAAAAAGCCTCTGCCGATCAGGCAACTCAGCTGGGATCGTCAGAGCCTTTTGAAAGCATTTTTTTACAACTTCTTTGCCGAAGAGATTGTAGAAATTATTTAAAAAAAAAAAAAAAATGGGCACACCCACCCAGTCATATTACCTCCCCCCCACCAAGCCACACCCACAGAACTGGTAGTAACAAATTTTAGATTTCACCACTGAATATAAGCTATAGTGAAGATTAATAACTTTGAAATATACCACAGCCGGAATGACTGGATACTGCTGTTGAAAAATAAGGGGGGAAAAATAACACAGTCTCACCTTAGCAGTTTTATTTTTGCCCTGTATCCCTTGCATAGTGATAACATGACCCTTATCTTTCAGAAGGTTAGCTCTGGGTCCTATCTTCACGTAGGATATTGTGGCGAAGGCTGTAAAGCTGAAGTCTTCCCTGGAAGGCAAAGTCTTTTTGTTAACTGAAAGGGAGGATTTAGAGAAGGATTTTACAGGACATGCACTAAGATTAGAAGCCAATTGCTCAAGCCAGCAATCTGAGTAAGAGAGACAAGCACTGGGGTGATGAAGAATTTACGTGGGTGGCACGGGAAAGGGCAGATTTTAAAAAGCCGCCGAACTTACTTCAGATACTGCTGCAGAATCAAATGGGCAACGATTCTCTCCAATACATCACGGGGAAGTTTGGGAGCGGCAATCTCCAATCCCAGTTTCGATAGACCCTTCCCCAGCCAAGCATCGATCAACTTCAGAGGAGTGAATTTCTGCTTCATTTGGTCCACCTGCTTTAAAATCTTGATGAGTTCCCTGCAGTGCTCCGTCACATCCATCTTCTCCAACGCTGAGAGGAGAGAATTCACACACATGAACACAAATATCAATCCCAAGGAAAGCTAGCAAGATAAAAGCAGTAATTAAGATTCAGTTTCCGCCCTACATTGGACCTTTTGGGTAATCAACTCCCATGTTTCTAAATACCGGTATGTAAAAAACAAAAAAAAATATGAAAGAACAGAAACCAATCAGGGATCTGCCCAGCAGAGGGGTCCAATAAAAAAAGAAAGTGAACCAAACAAATCTGAAAACACAGGTTCTCTTGTCCACGGGCCAAATCTTTCTAATTTCTCATACAGTGATTGTCAGCTTTGGAAGCCATATTGACCCCAGAAGCTTCCACGCAGCTTCGGAAAGTAGGAGGGGGGGGGGTTAGTTAGACATAATAGCATCCTTCTTTTCGGTCAAGGTGAGGGTGCTCCTGCATCTGGAGGAGTGGTTGCAGTGGTGGCTCAAGTTGGGACAGATGGTGATTGAGCCATGTGATGGACTGATGGGTGCAGGGACTGGATATGGGGTTTTGATTTGAGGGAAAACCCGGAACTCTCAAGATTCGGGTTTTCCCAGATATGCCAGTATACCTATTCCAATAAATGAAAGATTTGGGATGACGGAGTTTTCTATTGGAGTTGGGTTGTTCTGGAACGCTGACAGCGATCAGCTGCATCAGCCGCTTTCAAAGAGGCCCTAGGGATCCATGGATTCAGGACTTCAGACTATGCATCCCTAATTCAAATATTGCCGGTCAAGGAAAGCCTACGCAAGTCTATCGATAGCATCCTAGATGTTCATCTCCACAAACCAGTTGTGCAATTAACTGGTAAGCACTTTAAACTGTACTCCAAAATCTCAAGAAAACAGACATCAATGAAAGTGTTTGATATAACCAGTTTACAACTGGGGGAAAAAAGGTGGCATTATCTCAGATCATCACCTGCATTTCTGTCAATTGTGAGAGCCTTGGTGGCACAGCAGACTGAAGCACTGTTGAGTAACACCAGCTGCCTGAATTACTGCAAGTTCAAATCTCACCAGGCTCAAGGTTGACTCAGCCTTCCATCCTTCCGAGGTAGGTAAAATGAGGACTCGGTTTATGGGGGCAATAAGCTGATTTTGTATAAAAAAGAACACCGTGGGGGGGGGGGGGGGGAAAAAGCCTTACTAAGCAGGTATATACAAAAGTATGAAGGCTATTGCTTAACGCATTGTAAGCCGCCCTGAGTCTCTGGAAAAGGGCGGCATATAAATCGAACCAATAAATAAATAAACAATAAATAAATACTGTGTTTTCACGAAAATAAGACTGGGTCTTATTTTCTTTTGGGCTCCGAAATAAGCACTAGGGCTTATTTTTTGGGGGGGATCTTATTTTTCCCCCCATGTACAGGAGGTCCACTTCTTCTGCTTGCTCATGGTGGGGCAGGCGGCCATATGTGAGGTTGGGGGTGGAGCTGCCTCACGTGCCCCGCACTGCCTCAGGGCCCCCACAGCCAGGCCATTCTATTGTGTTGTGGCCGCAAGCAAGCAAGCATAAGTGGGCCCGTGGCCACATGGCCTCCTGCTGCACATGGCTGATGGTGCTGCTGCTGTGAAGCAGGTGTTGGGGCGTGGATGGTCTGGCTGAGGGGGCTCTGCGGTAAGGCACTGTAGGGCAGCTCAACCCCCCTCACCTCATAGCCATGGGCAACCAGACGGAATGGGCAGCTGCGCAGGCTCTTGGGTAGGGCTTATTTTGTGGGGTAGGGCTTATATTGGGTGTACATGTAAAAAAAACATGCTAGGGCTTATTTTTGGGATAGGTCTTATTTGGGGGAAGGTATTAGACTGGGAAGATAACTCATGCCTAAGACATTTCTGCTATCTTTTCTCATTTGCACATGAGTCAAACAAATCTATTACGCAGATGCCTTCAAAAGCCCCGATAGAGAAATGGTTACTCATTTGATTTGGGAACGTCTGCTATGCTACGCTAACTTTGATCAGCAGGAAAGTCTGACGATATTCTTAACAGTCTCTAATTGTGCCTGGTGAACCGTTACGCTAACGGCTGAACTAAAGCAGAGATATACAACAGGGTTTTGGAATCCGGAACAATGACTCATGACCGGCTTTTATGCCTATGCAAATTATCACTTTCATCTTCAACCTCTTAAAATTCCAGTTCGGAAAAACAGAGTTGATAGCGATTCTCTCCATTGGGTTTTTCTTTTTCCTGCTCTCCCACTTACTCTCTTCTTGGCAGCAGTTATCACACATTTTATTACAACTGGCAGAATCCCAGGCCTCGTCAAAGTGATGAGCAATCTGGACTCGGCGGCATCTGCAGCAGAAATACCAGAGTCAGAAGCAATCAGTGGGCCTACGTACGCACAGCCACCTACTGTCTACGGATACTCCTCAACCACTTACAGCAGGGGTGTCCAACTCGATTTCATTGAGGGCTGCATCAAGGTTGTGTTTGACCTCAGGGGGCCAGGGTGGGCGTGGCCAGCTCGACATCACTAATCAAGGCTCTGTTTTCGGCCCCGCATGGCCCACCCGGGCTCCATTTTTGGCCGTGATGACTTCCTGTAGCCCTCTGCCAGTGAAAGTGGAGCTCAGAGAAGCTGCATGTGGTCCTCCCGGGCTCTGTTTTGGGCTGTAACAGCCTCCTGCAGCCCTCTGCCATTGAAAATGGAGCTTGGGGAGGCTGTGCATGGCCCTCCCGAGCTCCATTTTCATTGGCAGAGGCACCGCAGGGCAGCCTTTCACTGTATCCAGAACTGGCCCACAGGCCAGATCTAAGCACCCCATGGGCAGGATTCGGCCCACAGATCTTGAGTTTGACACCCCTGACCTAGTCTACGGATAATCCTCAATTGTCATTGTAAGTCGAGAACTACCTGTATTTGTTTTTGAAGTTCTGACATCTGCCCCTTCCCCAATAGTCACATGATTGCATTTTGGGCACTTGGCAACCAAAATTATATAATTATATAATTATAATTATAAAAATTATAGCCCCAGTCACATGATCTTACCTACAACATTTTTGCTGGAAATTGCCCTGTATTTTTAGTTTCCAGCAAAACCTGTCCTTTAGCATATGATGGTTTCGCTTAACAACTGCTGCATTCACACTGCACTTAACCACCATTGCAAAAAAAGAAAAAGTCATAAAATCAGGTCCGGTCACACGGTAACCGGCTTTACGACTGTCATGACTTACAAACCAAAAATTCTGGGTTTAATCACGGTCGAAGGTCAAGAGCTACCTGTAGTTTCAACACAGGAAAACATCTGTCAGTCCCATCAGTGAAGAAAGCCACTTGCCTTCCCATATCGTGACAGTAGGAAACCATCCCATACAGCTTCTGTTGTCCCACATTTTCCATCACCACCATAGTGCTGATTCTGAATATGTCACCAAAGCCATAATATAAGATGCAATCGGCTCTCTGGTCATCCCGACCTGGATTGAGTTTAAAAAAAATATACATTTTCACCCGCAGCTAAGAATCACAAATCTCTCTCCAGAATATGTTCTTGCCTAAGTATACCTGCGCGTCCGCTCTCTTGGTAGTAATTTTCCATGGATTTACTCATGGAATGATGTATGACGAACCTCACGTCTGGCTTATCAATTCCCATGCCGAAAGCAACAGTGGCCACCACAACCTGAAACGTAAAGACGACCAAAATCAGGACATTAAGTTATTCCCGGTTGAATAGAAAAACTTCCGTATCACAAACTCCACCTGGATTTCGTTGGCACACCACCGCTTGTGAACTCTGCTCTTATCTTTGGGCTCCATATTTGCATGGTAAGTACCTGCTTTAATCCCCAGTTTTTGTAAACTCATAGTAACTTGCTCAGCATCTTTCTGGGAAAAACAGTAGATGATTCCTGTGTCAACAAAATAAGTAAAGGCTATTTAATGTAACAGAATAGAAGCAAAAGAGAAGGTTATTTAATCCAGGGGTCCCCAACTGCCAAGGCCGCGGCCCACTACTGGACCTTGGCCCATTCAGCACTGGGCTACGCAAATGGTGGGTGAGTGTGCATGAGCACACAGCTCCACTTGCTAGCGCAGCTCCATTTGGGTGAGCGGTGGGCGTGTGTGCCATTTGTGCAAATGGGAGCTGCACACACCTGCCACTCACCATCCGCTCTCCCTGTCCCCACCAGACAGCAAAGCCAGAAAGGTTGGGCCCAGGGGTGAAATCCAGCAGGTTCTGGAGAACCGGTAGTGGAAATTTTGAGTAGTTTGGAGAACCGGCAAATACCACCTTTGGCTGGCCCCCGAGTGGGAATGGAGATTTTGCAATATCCTTCCCTTGCCACGCCCAAGCCACACCACGCCCATCAAGCCACGCCCAAAGAACCGATAGTAAAAAAAAAAAAAAATTCACCACTGGTTGGGCCCCCCGATTTAATCCATTTAGCATAGTGGTATTCAGTACGGATAAATATGGCTTCATGCATAATCATTTGGTGAACCAAACCGTTGGTATTTGGTGGTTCATATTTGAACTGAAACATACACAAGACTATTTTACTCCTGATATTGGTCAAATGTTGGCTGTTCCTGGAAGGGTTTCCTTTGGGGAGTGGGCAGGGAAGGCTTAATAGCAATGAAAAAACCAAGTTTTAATGATTTCTTGAGTGATGGCAGCAGTAGATGAGAGGAAGAAGGGGAGGAAGGGATGAAAACATTGAGAAGATAGGAGGCAAGCAGGCCAGTGGGATTTTGATAGAATACTAGTAGCTCAGGAATGAACCGTGTGGTCCTTGGTGCTCTCTGAGCTTGGTTGTTTTCTTGCAGACATTTCATTACCAAACTAGGTAACACCATCAGTGCTAGTAGGGAGTGAGGTTCTCTCTAATTTTATATACTACTGGCTTGCCCTGTCAGGGTTGGTAGAAGTGGTTCCTTGATTGGGTTGTTGTTTACTGTTAGCTCACTTGGCAGTTCCTTGATTGGGTATTGTTTGCTTCTTGATTGTTAATCTAATCTTAATCTTGCATTAATCTATGCACATCTGGTCATGATTACTGTGGAGGAGGTGTTTTGGACTTTTTGTTTCCTTTATGGCCTTTTGATTGTCTCTTTTGAATGGTATGTAGTTGTTGTTTATGTCTATGTGCCTGTTGGTGGCTGATCTGCTTGCATGCCAGGCTTTCAGGAATTCTCTTAGCAGTGGGATTTGCTATGATGGAACACTGGTGGTGGCAGCCAATGGGAGAGAGGGGAGAGGGAACTGCTAGGAAGATGGGAGGGGCAGTTTTGCCTTATTTGTACCCTAAAACCACTCCATCATTGCTTAAAGTTTTGTTTCAGGCAAAACCCAGAACACACACACACACACACACACACACACACAAATCCACAGCAGGTGCTTAATTTCCAGAAGGCAATGTGTTGTTTTTTTTTTGTTAGATTGAAAACAATACACATTTTCTATTTTGAGCATGTGCTCAGTACTCAAACAGGGTGTGGGACAAGGCTAACCATGGTGATCTCTTAGAGATGCTATCGTATTCTCGGAAGGGATTCTTTAGACTGTTCACCTGAGAGGCCTTTGTATCTTCCATTGATGAGCTTCACAATATCCTCAATGCAATTCTGAGCAGATGATGGCTTCTGACGAACCTAAAATGAATTAATTTTTTTTTTCAAAAGGCATTCAAAAATCCCTTTTAAGTCATTTAAGCTTTACATAAACTTAAAATTAAAAGCAGTCTCTCAGTATGGAATGTTGAGGCCATCTGTTCTAAAGTCAGTACTTTTCAGCTCCGGCAACTAAAATGGGTGGACTTCAACTCCCAGAATTCTCCAGCCAGTAGGCTGGCTACATGTAGAATTCTGGGAATTGAAGTCCACAAATTTTGAAGTTGCCAAGGTTCTAAAACACTGTTCTAAGTAAATAAAATAAGAGCAATGAAAGCAGAATGAAGGACAAATTAGTGATCTCCAGACTTGCGTTCCAGCAGTCCTGGACATTTTCCCAGAAGATATAGGGGCAAATTAGAAGAGATTTTAGTAATTTAAAACAGGGTGGGGAACTAATATTAACAAAAATACCTCATAATAGAGATTGGGTCGGTTGAAGGATGCTGTGAAGGTGATGCATTTGGGCACACAGAGGATATTCTGCGCATCGCGCAGCACATGTCCTGTCGCAGTGGCAGTCAGTCCAATCAAGGGAGCATTGGGAAACTGCCGTTTTAAGATCCCAAGCAACTTGTAATCTGGATGTGTAAGAAAAGAGCAGAGATGTTGCATTACATCACTGATTGTGGGCCAAGTTTGGTGTAGAGGTTTAAGGCACAAAAGGTAGAAATCAGGAGACTGTGAGCTCGTGTCTCGCCTCAAGCATGAAGCCAGCTGGTTGACTTTGGGCCGGTCCCTCTCGCTCAGCCCTAGGAAGAAAAAAGCAGTGGGAAAGCATTTCTGAAAATGTTGCCAATGTTTTTCTTCTGACTGGAGAAATCCCCCTCACTAAGCGCAAGATAAAATGTATAGGATAACGTGCAGAGAGGGGAAGAGCAGTAATTTGATTGCTAGCAGAGAAAAACACCAATTCTCCCTCTTTGCATTAAGTGTCTCCTGGGTAGATATACCAGGTCTGAAGTCATGCCCCCATTGGCTACAGCAATGGACCTCGTCTACGGCAATCCGGGTCAGCTGTCCTGTTTGATAAGCTTTTTCTAGCTTTGACATAAACATCTTGCTTTTCGCTATCTTCTCTGGAGTCACATAAAGAAGCTTCAGTTGCGAGTTGCGAGACAGCATTTCGGCATGAACCCACTTCACGTGTTCCTGTGTGGGAAGAAAAGGAGATCATTCAAGCCAGTTAGAAAATGCCAAGGCCTGACTCAATATGGGTCAGTTTGTCACACACGTTTTGGCACAAATTCCCCTCAGACATTTCCAAATATTTAGTTGCTAATGTTAATGTTGCAGTTCTTCCCAAGTGAGGTACAGAAAATTAGTCAGCGTATTCATGACTGGCAGAGACATGGTAACAAGGTCAGCCAATGAATAGGGCTTAGTAACAAGGTCAGCCAATGGGAGCTGAGACAGCAAGGAGCCTGGGCGTGGCTTAGCTGTGCTTAGCTCTGAGTGCTGTGCTGAGACCTGAAACTGAAACTAGTCTGCTCTCTGAACTGAAACTGAAAACTGTTCTCTCCTCTGCTTTTGGTATTGTTTGTTTGTTTGTTTGTTTTATTAGATTTATATTTATATTTATTGTATATTTACTTATGTGTTATGTACAGAAAGAGAAGTTAATGAATCCTGCTGAATCAGTCAACTGTGTGTGCTTTCTGGATGTGATTGCTGCTGCAAACTCTGGCAAAACTGGACATAGGGGCATCATGCATCTGACTGTGTATCGGTAATGTGTTCAATTAGTGTTTTTCAAACTTGCCGATTGTAAAATAGGTGGACTTCAACTCCCAGAATCCCTCAGCCAGCCATGTAAAGTTGCCAAGTCTACCCACGTAAAGTTGCCAAGTTTGAAATACACTGTGTTAAACAGCAGTCCATATATTCATACTGAATACAATAAATGCTGTTTTGCTTTTTTTCCCCACAAAAGGTGCCTATTTTAAATATCCATTTCAGAGATGTGGTCCTTTACTCCTTCAACTGTTGACACCACTTATCACTGGACATACTGGCACGAGTAGTCAGCAAATAAATGTAATAATGATAGTCATGATAATGATAGTCTTTCCTGCTTTTCTGCACTACCCATTATATAATCATTCCTTTTACAAGTACTGTATTTTTTGGAGTATAAGACATTCCGGACTACAAGACACACCTACCTTTTTGGGGGGAAGAAAACAAGAAAAAGAAAATCTGCCTCCCAGCAATTTGCCTCCTTGCAGCAATCAGTGAAGGCCGAAAATGGGGTGCGTGGAGACGGCAACAGGCAATGGCAATCCCTGCAGCCTGAAACAGCTGAGGGTCGGGAGGCCAATCCAACCGACAATCAGCTGCTTGTGCTAATCAGGCTGTGCTGAAGCTGAAGCTGAAACTGAAACTGAAACTGAAACAGGCTGTTTGCTGTTTGCTCCAAGGAGGCAAATTGCTGGGAGGCAGAGGCCAAAGGGTGAGGGCCGGCGGGTGGGCAGGGCTACATTCGGTGTATAAGACGCACCCAAATTTTCATCCTCTTTTAGGGGGGAAAAATGTGTGTCTTATACTCTGAAAAATATGGTAGTCCTCAACTTATGACCATAATTGGGACCAGAATTTCTGTTCTAAATCGTTACGTTAAGCTGAGTTGGACCCAATTTTATGACCACTTTTATAATGGATCATTACGCAAATCACTTTGGTCATTAAGCAAATGCCACAATTGCAGGTGTGAAGCCATTCTTCCAAATGGGCATTTCTTGCTGGAAACCAGCAAAGTAAAGCTCACAAATTGCAACCATGTGATTGGAGGACACTGCAGCTGTAATCAACGCAAACTGGTTCCTGCATTGCGATCACGTGATCACAGGGATGATGTGAGGGTCATAAATGGGAGGACTGGACTCTTTTCAGCACTGCCGTAACTTTAAATGATCACTAAGTTGAGAACTACTTGCATGAGGCTTGTTTACAGTTCCGATTTTCAGCACTAGAAGTCTGTAGAGATTCACAGTTATCCAGGTCATGGTTGTCCCAAAGGTGCTTTTTTCAGGTGGCAAATGGACTTTCTTGTTTTTTCTTTTGAAAACATTTCGCTTCTCATCCAAGAAGCTTCTTCAGCTCTGACATGATAGTGGGGAATGGAAGGATTTATATTCCTTGCAGACAGCTCTTAATCTGCATCCTTTTAGAGCAGGGGTGTCAAACTCACATCATCACAGCGGTGACACATGATGTATCCTGACTTTTTCCCCCTTCGCTAAGCCAGGCGTGGGCATGGCCAGCAAGCGACGCATCTGGCCCACGGGCTGCGAGATTGACAGCCCTGTTTTAGAGGGTGGTTGAAGCATTTGGAGGTTTATCTGTGTCCTCAGGGTCACCTGAGTGGTGCTAATGGTTCCTTTCAGCACTAGCCATTCCAGATCAGAAACAAAAGTGGAAGGCGACAGAAGTAAATTCTGGTTTGTCTGCCAGATAAAAAGAGATCATTTCCAAGTTGGAAGGTTTCAACAGAGCCTGTAGAGATTCTCAGTCACCCAGATCATGGTTGTCCCCGAAGATGCTTTTCCAAAAGGCAACTGGACTTTCTTCGTTTTTTTTTTCCCTTGAAAATGTTTCGCTTCTCATCCAAGAAGCTTCTTCGACTCTGAAGAACTGAAGTGAAACATTTTCAAGGGGGAAAAAAAATCAAGAAAGCCAAATCCTTTGGCCTTTCAATCAAGTATTAAATCCAATGCTGTTTGTTGTAGCATCAACATATAGATCTTTTCGAATAATCTTTTTTTTTTCCTATGTCATTTTGGTGGCAAGACTCATTCTAATCAGCAGAATCACTCTTGTTCACTTACAGCTGCTGCTTTCAAAAACTAACATCTCTGGTAACTGGTCAACTTGGCACCCAGCCCATACCTTGCTGCTGGAAGCATTCAGTAAAGTTGCTGATATACCCAGCTGTTCCAACATCATTAGCTGATCCTCCATGAGGGAGATGAGAGGACAGATCACAAGGGTGAAGCCTGGAACAAAAAAGAAATCGTATTAATCACTGGAAAAATGTATTTTCTTTGTTGGCACATTTTCATTTAATAAGAGAAACTTCCTTCTACTGCAGAAGGAAAGTGGGAAGGCTCCTTGATGCTGCCTGAGTTTGATTGTTTTCCTGCAGACATTTCATTACCCAAACTAGGTAACATCATCAGTGCTAATTAGGAGTGGGATTTGCTCTCTGTTTATATTCAAGTGTAGGGAACTCCAACCTCTGGTCTGTGGACCGGCACCGGGACACAGCATGCCAGAAACCGGGCCGTGCAAACAAGCTAAGTATCAAGAGTTTGCAGTAGAAAATCAAATCCAGAAACGCACAGAAAGATAACTGATGCAGCAGGATTCATTAACTTCTTTATATACATATAATACATGAAGATAAATGTACAATACCATATAGATTTTTCTTCAACGTAGTAGCAGTTACAAGCAAAACACAAGGCAGGAGAGAACAGTTAGTTTCATTTTCAGCCGAGCAGACTAGTTTCAGTTTCTCTGCACAGACTCAGAAGCTGCAGATTAACACATTCCCTGGCTCCAGTCTGTCTCAGTTCCCAAACAGCCTTCATTGTCTGACTTAGTTGCTATGCCTATACATTGGCTGACCTTGTTACCATGTCCTATTCCAATTGATGAATATACTCTGACACGAAGCCCCATCCGTGGGATGCAGACAGCACACCAAACCACGCCCTCTCTGGTCTGCGGAAAACCCTCTCTCCATGGAACCGGTCCCTGGTGCCCAAAAGGTGGGGGAGGGTACTGTTCTAGTGGCTTGTTGCACTAGATTTGCTTAACAGCAATCTTACCAGCAGATGGAAGATTGGAAGGAAAATGTTTTCCTATCTGTTTGTCCTAACTTGTCTGAAGAGTATTAGGTTAGAAAAGGCTGTTAGAACATTATGCAGTATGAATCCATTACTTCTTACTGGCTTCAACCAGCAACAGTTGCTTGAGTTACGAAACGCAGGTACTTACCCTGAGAACCTTCTGCCGGCAACTGATAACACAGGCTCTTTCCCCCTCCAGTAGGCATGACGAGGAATACATCTCTGCCTGCCATTGTTGCATTAATTGTCTCCAGCTGCAAGGGCCTAAATTTCTGGAGGCCAAAGCTCTTTTGTAACACATCCCTAATCTTTGCGGACCACGGAAAGTCTGTGAAAAGAACATTTGAAAACAACTTTTGAGGTTCGTTTGGGTATAGAAAGACAGTTTAAAGGGTTTTCTCTGCAAAGGGGCAACAATGAAACCAAATTTTAAACGTTGTCCATTTTCTAAACTGAAAAATAAAACCCCTGTACTGAGACCATTCAGTTGGAAAACCTCAGCCAGAGAACAAGATGTAGAACTACTTGCTTTTCCATCTCCATTTTTCTCTCTTTTACAATCAATATATTCATTGTGCAATAGAAACGAGAATCAAAGGCCAGCAGGGTAAGACCCTTTCTGAAAAACTAAAGTCAATTATGAGCAAGTGAACTACAGCCAACTTCTTTTGATCTAAATCAGGGGTGTCAAACCAAGACCCCGGGGGCCAGATCTGGCCTGCGGGTTGCTTAGATCTGGCCTGTGGGGCCACCCTGGAAACAGCAAAGGACCAGCCTGCAGGGCCTCTGCCAGAGAAAATGGATCTTGGGAGGGTCACGGGCAACCCTCCTTAGCTCTGTTTTTGCTGGCAGAGGGTTGCAGGAGGCAGTTGCAACCGAAAGCGGACCTTAGGAGCCTGTTTTCACAACAGGCTCTACTAACCCCCGACACAAGTGACATTGAGCTGGCCACGCCCACCCTGGCCAGCCCCCCCCCCCCCCCCCCGAGGTCAAACACAACCCTGATGCGTCCCTCAAAATCAAGTTTGACACTCCTGATTTAAATGAACATCAAACTGGTGGTTATTTATATGTCAAAATATTATGACTGCTTAATATAGCAGTGAAGAATCTTCCCCAAATTTTAAATTGATCTGAAGCAACAAGAGAGGGAACTTTGCATGAAGTATGAAGAGCATGCAGAAAAGGATTTATGCTGCTTTCACCTCATTTAACTAAAAAACAGATGTAGCCTATTTTTCGGAGTATAAAACGCACTGGAGTATAAGACGCACCTTAGTTTTTGGGGAGGTAAATAAGAAAAAAGCTGATTGGGGGGTGGATAGGCCTCCCGAAATACCCCCAATCAGCTGTTCCTAGAGGTGAATTTTAGCAATAGGTTCATTGGTTGTAAATTCTGTGCCTTGCCTTTTTTTCTGCCTCTGAAAGCCTCCGAAACAGAGCTTCAGAAAAAAAGGCTTTTTTTTCCCCTGAAACTCTGTTTGGAGGCTTTTTTTCTGAAGCTTCTTTTAGAGGCTTCTTTCAGCCTCTGAAACCTCCATTTGAGCGGCTAGGCGGGGCTACATTTGGAGTGTAAGATGCACCCAGATTTTCACCCTCTTTTTGGGGAGAAAAAGGTGCGTTTTATAGTCCGAAAAACACAGTACATAAAATTAACAGTCTTTGCATTTAATAGCAGTGAACATCTTTTGAATATTGAACGTAACGTTGATTAGGTCATTGTTTGACTCTAATGGCAACATAATAAAGATTCTGGACTTGCAAGACCTTCTTTGTTCCAGTCCTCAGTTGCTGATTCATTCTCTTTGCTGCTCCCGCTTTCCGTGTCGGAAAACTGTCGTATTTTCTTCTTCAGGATGGTCTTCTTTTGAATTAGTTGTTGCTGATGTTCAAGAAGTTCTTGAATCTGGATTTCCAGTGCCTGCAGTTCATCGTCAACAGACCCCAGCTCCTCCTGCAGCACTGAAGAAGGGGGAAATTGCAACATTTTTTCCCCATTTGGTGGGAATTTAATACACCCTGCAAGGAATTGTCATGCTTTCTCTTTCTCTTATGCTTGCTCCAACCAGGCCTCTAAAGTAACTCTAAAGAAAGACACGCTCCAGTATGACTAAACTTGTCCATTGATATATCCAGTAAGGCCCCTTCTTTCCAAACTAAAAGCTGATTTAGCCCAAATCCAAAAGATCTATAACACATCCATGAATATACAGTAGTGGCCAAAATTGTGGAAACCTTTTGGGGAAAGTGTATTTTTGAGGTTTGATGGCTAATAACACCACTTTTGGGGGGGGGGGCAGTTTCAAGATAATCCTATTCCACTGCTGGAATGGCCTGGGAATAGGCCAGACCTTAACCCAATTGAAAATCTATGGAGACGGCTAAAGAAACTTGTTAGTCAGAAGCGACCCAGCAATAAAACCCAGTTAATAAATGCAATAATTCAATCTTGGTTTCACATTATAACAGCTGCAGAACTAAAAGACTTGGTTCACTCCATGGGAAGACGTCTATTTTCTGCCTCCCGAGTCCCATCTGATCGGGAGGAAATGGGGATTTTTCAGTAACCTTCCTCTGGAGTAGGGAAGGGGATGGAGATTTTACAGTATCTTTCCCCTGCCACGCCCACCAAGCCACGCCCACCAAGCCATACCACGCCCACCAAGCCAAACCCACAGAACCTGTAGTAAATCTTGAAACCCACCACAGACAGACAGACAGACAGACAGACAGATATAACCTGTTGTAATAAAGTATTTTGGAAGCATGAGTTACCTGAAAGAGTAGTTGACATCGCCTTTAAAGTGCTTCACTAACAAATATTGATCAAAGCAATTCTCCAACAGTTTCTTCCTGGGGGAAAAAAAAAGTTGCTGTCAATTGAGGACTACTTGTAGTCTATGCTAAGCCTAACAGGATGAATAAAATGCCAGGGTTGGACTATGTTTGTGTTTAAACCCTGTTTGATGGGCACAGCATCCCCAGTCCCACTTACAACTCATTAAATTCAACAAGTTGACAGACATCATGTAGTGCTTAAGATCTCCAACATGCCACTGGTCCTCAAGTCGCCTGAGGAAGGAATACATTTTACTCTGCCCCGAACTCTGTGGAAAAGAGCAATAATAGTTTGTTATTAGATAGTCATTTTTTCATTTTAAAGGCAGTTTTTTTTTAATCCAGATTTTAAACTAAAAACAAAGACTGTGGTACAAAAGACCATTAAGAAAATACTCAAAATCTACGGTAAGGCAATACCTTTTATAACGTAAGAACCAATTCAGAAGTCCTAAAATAGCAAACAAGCTTATTATTTCTCCTGAAATGTGCAACTAACCTGAATATCAGGCAGAGCAAAGAAGTTTAAAAATCTGGCACACTGTCAACATTGGAAGACTGTTGATCAGATTGGTTTAAACTCTTCTCTGAGCTATGCAGATTTCAATTGTCAGTGACATTGGGACAAAACCAGATGTAAAAAATAATTCCTACATCTGTTTTCTTTCTTGTATGCAACCTATTGTGGCCACTAGAGAGCAGCATATCATCTGTCCAGTTCATCTTTTTGGGCTCATCTTGGGGAGTTGAATTCCACACTTCTTCAGGTTGCCAAGGTAAAGAAACATTGCTATAGGTTTTTTTTAAGGGAGGGGGAATCTTTGAGGCAGCACTGACTCCTGGCAACTGCCTGGACAAGTCCCTGCAGTTTTCTTGGCAAGATTTCAGAAGCGATTTGCCATTGCCTGTTTCCTAGGGCTGAGAGAGTCTCATAGAAAGCATCAAAACAAAAACAAGCCAATATAAAGATGGAAACACCAGTAACAAAGATGCGGCCATTAGTACTTTGCAAAACAAAACCCTTGTCTTTAAGAAATAAATCTTTAAAAAAAATCTGTAGAGCAGGGGTCTCCAACCTTGGCAACTTTAAGCCTGGCAGACTTCAACCCCCAGAATTCCCCAGCCAGCACCTTTTAAGACTGATTCAATCACACTATTTGTAAAAGAGAGGGAAAACAATCAGGAGCCTACATTGCAGGATTGTTGTAATCTCTCATTCTCTCAGACTCCAGACATAACGTCCCTCCCAAAGTGTCTATGGAGATTCTCAGTCACCCAGGTCATAAGTTGTCCCAAAGGTGCATTTTTCAAGAGGCAACTGGACTTTCTTGATTTTTCTTTGAAGACGTTTCACTTCTCATCCAAAAAGCTTCTTCAGCTTTGACTGGATAGTGGGGAATAGAAGGTTTATAGTCCTTGCAGCCAGCTGGTCATTTGCATTCTTTTTAGAGAGTAGTTGAGGCCACTTGGAGGTTTATCTGTGTCCTCAGGGTCACTAGAGTACAAGTAGTCTTCAACTTACAACAGTTTTTTAGTTAAATTTAATTTATATGCCACCCTTCTCCAGAGACTCAGGGCGGCTTACAATGTGCTAAGCAATAGCCTTCATCCTTTTGTATATTTATACAAAGTCAGCTTATTGCCCCCACAAACTGGGTCCTCAATTTACCTACCTTAGAAAGGATGGAAGGCTGAGTCAACCTTGAGCCTGGCGAGATTCGAACCTGCAGTAATTGCAGGCAGCTGGTCTTAATAACAGGGTGCTTTAGACCACTGTACTACCAAGGCTTCATTAGTGACCATTCAAAGTTACAACGGCACTAAAAAAGGACCTTATGACAGTTTTTCACACTTAACGATCATTGCAACATCCTCCTGGTCACGTGATCAAAATTCAGATGCTTGACAACTGAGTCACATTTATGACGGTTGCAGTGTCCCAGGGTCACACCATCCCCTTTTGCAACCTTCTGATCAGCAAAGCCAATCGGGAAACCAGATTCACTTAACAAACCGTGTTACTAATTTAACCACCGCAGCGATTCACTTAACAAATGCAGACAAAGAAAGTCGTAAAATGGGGCAAAACTCTCTTAACACACATCTCACTTAACATCATAAATTTTGGGCTCAATTGTGATCGTAAGTTGAGGACTACCCGTTGTACAAATAGGTGTGGAGCCTTTTTGGAACTGCTGAAAGGACCACGTTGTAGATGAGGGAGATAGATGATGCCGTATCTCTCCCCCTCTGCTGAGAGAGAGCTGTTCAGGTGACTGACAACACAGATAAACCTCCAGGAAGGAGGAGAATATAGGAGAACAAACCTATCAGGACAAGATTCAGCAGTCCATCTGCATTTAAAAGACAAACGCCACTCTTTTGAAGATAGCAAGGTCCACATTTTAGACAGAGAGGAAGGCTGGTTTGAAAGAGGGGTCAAAGAGGCCATTATGTCAAAATTGAACAGCCCTCTCTCAACAGAGGGGGAGGGATACGACATTATCTATCTCCAGTCTACAACACAGTCCTTTCAACTGTCTCAAGAAGGCTCCCCATCCGTTTGCACCACTCAGGTGACCCTGAGGACACAGATAAACCTCCAGGTGGCCTCAACGACTCTCTAAAAAGGATGCAAATGACCAGCTCTCTGCAAGGAATATAAATCTTCCCATTCCCCACCATCCAGTCAGAGCTGAAGAAGCTTCTTAGAAGAGAAGTGAAACGTCTTCAAAGAAAAACCTCCATAATAAAATAATAATTTTTTAAAAAAAACACCTCCATAACTGTCTGCTTCGCCTCTGCAACCAAACAAGACAAACACAGACTTCAAGGGATAATTAGACCTGCAGAAAAAACAATGGCTACCAACCTGCCTTCCATTGAGGATCTGTATACTGCACGAGTCAAAAAGAGGGCTGTGAAAATATTTACAGATCCCTCGCATCCTGGACATAAACTGTTTCAACTCCTACCCTCAAAACGACGCTATGGAGCACTGCACATCAGAACAACTAGACACAAGAACAATTTTTTCCCTAACGCCATCACTCTGCTAAACAAATAATTCCCTCAACACTGTCAAACTATTTACTAAGTCTGCACTACTATTAATCTTCTCATCGTTCCCATCACCCATCTCCTCCCACTTATGACCGCATGACAGTAACTTTGTTCTTGTATCCTTATGATTTATATCGATTGTTTCCTTGGCAGGAAACAAGACATCCCGATAATAAGCCCATGGGCTTTTGAGCACATGGCAATAAGGCCAAGTGCTTATTTCAGGGTTCAAAAAAATATAAGACAGGGTCTTATTTTTGGGGACACATGGTAGACACAAGAACAGTTTTTTCCCGAACGCCATCACTCTGCTAAACAAATAATTCCCTCAACACTGTCAAAATAATTTACTAAGACTGTATTACTATTGTTCTTCTCTTCCTTACTAGCATCTATCTCTTCCCACTTATGACTATAACCATGCTGCTTGTATCTTTCAATTTATATTGTTTTGTTTCCTAGTACGATTTGATAGCTTATTAGTATCCTTGACTATCACTACGTGTTGTATCTTTTTATTCTTGATGAATGTATTTTATTCTCCTTACGTACACTAAGAACATATAAAGCACCAAAGACAAATTCCTTGTGTGTCCAATCACACTTGGCCAATAAAGAATTCTATTCTATTCTATTCTATTCTATTCTATTCTATTCTATTCTATTCTATTCTATTCTATTCTATTCTATTCTATTCTATTCTATTCTAAAAAAAAAAAAAATTCCAGTTGCCTCTTGGAAAGAAAAAAAAAGGCACCTCGGGGTCCCTCCCGGAGCAGCCCTCGACCTACCTCCCATCCCTTCCCTTCCCCTTCCCCAAATGAGGAGACCAACCTCTCCCTCCGCCGCGCTCAAGACATTCCAGCCGGCATCTTGGCCCCGCCCCTTTTAGTCCTTCTTTCTCCCTCCCGCCCTTTCCGGGCCTGCCTTAGCCAATCCGCCGCGGCGCGCGCCTCTCCCCTCCTGGCCTCGCGCTTTTTTACCCCTCGGCCACCTCAGCTCAGCCGAAGCTCCGCCCCCACCTCGAAGGCCTCGAGGAAGGAAGCGGAATAAAGCCGGCGCTGATTGGCTCGGCGCTCTCGCCCCAATGGGATGGCGTTTTGGATCGCGGCGGCAGAGCGGGCGCCTCGGCGGCAGGAGGAGGAGGAGGCGGGTCGGCTGCCGAAAGCCGGGGAGTCTGAGGGGGCTGCGTGTTTCCGGAGGACGTGGCGAACGGGCTCCTGAGGCGGCTCCGGCTCCTTCTCTTCGGTTCTTTGTCCTGCTGGCGCGGCGGCTCTTACCGACATCATGATTTCCCTCACGGATACGCAGAGTGGGTGAATTGAGGGGAAGGGAGGGGAGGGGGGGTGGCAAATATTGCTGCTTCTGTAGTAATGATTGTTGGCATTATCCTCCCCATATGCAGCCTCCTTCCTAGCTTTTTAATCCTCGTTCTGTTCCACGAGCTCCTCATTGCTCTCCCAACGTTGATTATTAATATTAAGTCATTTTAGCATCGCCTGGATTGGGGTTTGGAATGGGAGACACCGCCCCCCCTCGGGAAACACCCCGCCTGGAAGGTTCCCCTTTCTTCACCTAATATAAATATAATAAATATAAATATAAATATAAACTAAAATGAATGGCCAAAGGCAGCAGCGGAAAAAACTGCATGGATGGGACCGGGCAATTAATTCAGCAAGAGTTGGGCTGTTCTTCAGGGTGTGTGTGTATATATGTATGTATGTATATATATGTGTGTGTATGTGTACACACACATATATACACATACATATACATATACACACACATCTATATCTATCCTATCTATCTATATAATTGCTACTACTACAATTGTTATTTTGGGGTGGGAGACTGCTTCACAACCTCTCACGCGGTATGATTCCTACCACTGTTCCTGTACCCTTGTCCTGTTATTTTTAAAAAAGTGGAGGTAGGAGTGCTTTTTATATGAAAAAAAAATGTATATTTTATATGAGCATCAGACACGCTCTAATTACAGAGTGCCTCCACCCTGAGGGCCCTCCAGCTGTGTTGGATTTTAGTAGCTGGATTTAGGATGTGAAATCCAAATTCACTTGGCAGTCAGTGGATTAAAGAAGGAAAGCTGGCATAAAATCACCCAAGCTGAACTATCAGGAAAATTAGAATTATTTAAGGTAGAACGTGTTCTTTTGCCATATATTGGTTCAAAATAATCTGCGGTGTACTTGAGCTTCCTTGTTTGCCTGCAGATATTTTATTACCCAACTATGTAACTATGAGTGCTAGTGAGTGTAGGGTTTGCTCTGTTTTTATACTCTAATCAAGGAACTACTAAAGTGAAAACCACACTGATACCAACCTCCTGGCAGGGTAAGCTACAGCAAATCACACGCTCAGTAACACTCATGATGTTACATAGTTGGGTAGTGAAACATCTGTAACCCAAACTCAGAGCACCAAGGACTCCATTGGTCAACCCTGAGCCGAATATATTCTCTTCTATTGGAAAATAATCTGAACATCAATGTTGGAATACTTGGATTTTTTTGTACTTGGATTTTTTTGTATAATTCAAGAGTTGAATGATATGCAGCCTTGTTTTAAAATCCATTAAAATGTTTGTATTTAGCCTTCTGAAGGTTAGCAGAGGAGGGATGCTAAATTGTTTGGCTAGGTGTAAAGGAAGCAATTTCTCACTTATGTCAACCAGTTATTTTGCCCGTGTGAAATAACTTCTCACCTGTGGCTACTAAATGAAATGTTTAAATACAGAACTGCATTAAGGCACAGGCTATCATTTATTGCACATTTAAGTATTTGGTGTTATGGAGATTTTAATAAGGAAGAATGGGTTTCTGCTTCCACAAATGTTATAAAGTCTAAACGAAAAAGAGAGCTGGACCAATATGTGGCAGACTGAGTGATCAATGGCTAATTGTCATGACTATACTACCTCTAAAAGACTAGAATTCTGTAAATAACTTGTGAGAAGCAGCAATAAAATAGTTTATCTCACACCTGTTCTTTTTTTGAGCGCTCCAGGAATGCTTACACTGACGTGTGTTGAATTCTGTTGGCTATATTTGAGTAAATGCTCACAGAATTAATACTTTTATGATAAGCAGTCTTGTATAGAAGCAGCCTTTTTCGTGTAGTGTATGATAACTCATACCTCAGTTGGATAAATTAATGCTACTTTGGTTAAGTTGTCTAAAATAAAATGATTTCATTGTTACTCATAAAAGTTGCACAAGGAAACATTTGGCATGTTTACACAAGTAACGTGAATATTATGCAATGTCATGGAACATAAAGAAGCAAATTCATAATTGTGAGAATCAATTTAGTGCCAAATGTATTACAACTTTTAAAGCAAAACTTTTAAAAAGTTATACAGAAATCATGCTGGGAACCTTTAAGGTGCTTATTCCATCCTCCTGTACTGTCCCCATGGAGCAGTTAATTCTAGGTACTGAAGCAACTTTGCTGTTCACTCCCTTCTCTCTCTTACTATAGGGTTACTGTCAGAAATCTGATACCTCTTTATGTCCTCAATTTGAATCTGTCAAAAAATCTAAATCACTACTTAAAACATAAATATGTTTTATTTCTCTGTTGATTTGCAGAAATATTCCAGAGTTATGAAACATTCCAGTTTCTGTTGTCCAAAAGTGTCCCTGGATATACATAGCTTAAATGAATTTTACCGAAACAATAACTTGTATATTTGAAAATTAACAGTTCCCGAACTTCAAAATCAAGTTTGAAGTTCACAAAGGAGAGAAAATGAGTCCGGCTGCATTTCTCTACTAAATACTGAAATAAAGCTTCCTTTCCTTAGCAGCCTGCTCAGTTTCTATGCTGGTTGCAAAAGAGAGGTAGATTGCTTTGTTCCTCTTCCAACTGTTTGTTTGCTCTCTCATTTGCCTGCATTTTCTGGTCATCGTATTAATTCTTAAAAATAAATTTGATGTTCCTTATAACAGTTTACTCTGTTTAAGGCCGCTGTCTGAAAAATTAAAATAATTTATAAATATTGTGGGGTCCTTGGTGCTCTCTGAGTTTGGCTATTTTCTCGCAGATGTCTCATTACCCAACTAGATAACATGATCAGTGCCACAAGGGAGTAGGGTTTTCTCTCTATTTATGTACTGGTGGTTTGCCATGTCAGTGCTGGTGGGAGTGTTTTTGGTGATACCTTGATTATGTTATTGTTTACTGTTAGTTTGTCTAAGTTGGTAGTTCCTTGATTGGGTTTCGTTTACTGCTTCCTTGAGCTACAAATTTTAAAATATTTCAAGAAGGAATGCAAAGTTTATCTTACTTTGTACTATTAATACATCAATAAAGTAATATATCATGGTTATTTTAATTGTAAGGTGTTTAGATAAGGAACTGCTATGCTAGAATAGGTGGACCAGATCTGCATTGAAATCAAAATACATTTTTATTGCAGAGATTTAATGTTAGAGTAAAACTGATGTTTCAGTTTATTTGGTAAAAAACTAATTTTTTGCATTTAGTTAATCATGGGTCTATCCTTTTTTAAAAATAGTCTTCATGGAAGAAATATAAGTAGATTATTTTAAAAAGTCTCTAAACTGAGTGGAAAAATGATTGTGTCTTCATAATGTGCAGTTATGGGTATTATCCTATGGACAACAATTACGTTGGGCCTTTGCAAAATATTTGAAAGAAATATTCTCAAAGATGCATTAGTGTAAAACAAAGTCCACTTTTTTAAAGTATCCGTTTGTAGGATACAAATGGATACTTTTTAAAGTATCCGTTTGTAGGGTTTAATGGCTGCTTTGAACAGTGACAGGTGACTCTACAATATATTTCCAGTTGTCTCTGCGTGCACAGAAAAGGCTTCTGCTAAGATTACTGGAGAAGTGAATTGGCAGGGATGACATTGTTTATAAATGCAATAAGTAATTTGAGGGAGAAGGTGTTAATTGAATGTAATACTTCCTCATGAATTCTGCTTTGAAGAGGAATTCTGGATCTCAGCACCACAAAGTGTTAGGACTTTGTTTACATTACACAATTAACAAATGTTTTAGAAACCTTGTAGGTAAACCTACTGTGGGAGACAAAAAAGGGAAAAGGACAATTGTGGCTGCAAATGTGATAGCTCAGGGCTGTCAAACTCGCGACCCATGGGCCAGATGCGTCACACGCTGGCCATTCTCACACCCGGTTTAGCGAAGGGGAAAAAAGTCCCTATACGTTACGTGACGCTGCGCGATGACGCGAGTTTGACACCCCTGTGATAGCTGAATCTATAGATCAGCACTGTATCAAATACTGGCTATTTTTAGAGACAAAGGTGTCAGTAATCAAAACAAAAATATTCTTATAGACGTGCCTTCAAAATAGCATGTTTTTATTTCAAAAGAGGGCAAGTGTCAGGGTGTTTTTTTTAAAAAAAATTGGAGCCAATTTAAAATTAACCTTGGCTAATGTTATAACTGTGTAAGGTTTCAATGGATATTTTCTTTTCTTGTTGACGCTCTGAGTAATTAATACTCTTCTTTTTTGTCTTGCAGAAATTGGGATGGGTCTTACAGGTTTTGGAGTATTTTTTCTTTTCTTTGGAATGATCCTATTTTTCGACAAAGCACTTTTAGCTATTGGAAATGTAAGTAGTTTTGCATGAATAACATTTACACAGAATGATAGGATTCTGAAAGTGCCTATGTTTAACACAGACAAGTCATGTAATTCACCTCTGGCCAAATTCACACAACGGTCTAGACACAAATGAGATTGGAGGTTGATGCTGGAGGCTCAGCAAGTTGTAGAAACTGGTACATAGAGGAGCCAGACCACTGTTTTTGCTTTAAACGTTTAGTTGTGTCTGACACTTGACAGCTTTATAGGCAAGTGCTGTCTATGCTATCCTGTCAAGCACAGTTTTTTGCAATTGTTGCATGTTCAACTTTATATCAAATTAGATGTACATCCAGCCAGCGTGTTCTTTGCTTGCCCCTTCGTCTTGTTCCAAAAAAGCATTCCTAGCATCATTGCCTTCCCCAGTGAATTTGCACACATGACATGGCCAAAGTAAATCAGATGTAGTCTTATAATTTTAGCTTCTAGTGATATCTCTGGTTTTATACGATTTAACACCTCTGTTAGTTTTGTTTTGTTTTGTTTTTTATAAATACTTTATTGAATTTTCCAAAATAAAAAGAAAATATACAATCTCTATCTCCTTTCGGAGGTACAGTGTTTGTACAATTTAGTGAGACAAATGTTAAATAAGCTTCATCCTTAACTATACATTATTCTATACAATATAACTTTAATTCAAGTGCAAAACAGGTCATATCCTGAAGTCATGTTTTTATCTTGTTCTTCAACCAATTATACCAATTACCCCATACGTCATAATATTTAGAATTGTCCTCATTATTTAACTCGCTCGTCAGTTTCGCCATTTCTGCGCACTCTAGGATTTTATTTATTAGAGTTTCTTCTGAGGGTATAAATTTATTTTTCCAGCATTTTCCGAAGGCTAATCTAGCTGCGGTTGTGATCTGGATTATAAATTGGGTTTTGTTGTTATTTAAGCCATCTTCAGTTATGCCCAGGAGGAAAAATTCTGGAGCTAGGACTACCTCCTGTCCCGTTATTTCACAGAGCCAGTGATACCTCTGGTTTTATACGATTTAACACCTCTGTTAGTTACACTCTTCTCTCCATAATAAACCCAATAATTTACGCCAGCACCACAATTCAAAGGCATCAATTCTCCTTTGATATAGATTGCCAGACCATTATATTACAAAGTTTTAATATGGTTTACAGGTAATCCTCAATTTATGGCCGCAATTGAGCCCAAAATTTCTGTTGAGAAGTAGGACAGTTGTTAAGTGAATTTTGTCCCATATCACAACTATTCTTGCCACCGTTGTTAAGTGAATCACTGCAGTTGTTGAGTTAGGGGCTGGCTTTCCCGTTGACTTTGCTTGTCAGAAGGTTGCAAAAGATGATCACACACATGTTCCTGGGACATTGCAACTGTTGTAAATACATGCTAGTTGCTAAATGTCTGGATTTTGATCACATGACATGGGGATGCTTCAACTGTCCTAAGTGTGAAAAATGGTCATAAGTCACTTTTTTCAGTACTGTTGTAACTTCAGATGGTCAGTAAACAAATGGCTGTAGGTCAAGGACTACCTGTACTTGTTTGGTTACAATGTGTTAGCTGAACAGGAATTGTGTTTTTGCCAATGTAGAGTTAGTGTTCAATGTGTGTTAATCTAGACTTCTTTTTGGGGAAGGAGACAAAACTGAATGTTAAAATACAGCAGTGTGGGAAATGTCACCGAGTGAGATATTCATTAGTTAAATGACACACTAATTGCTAGTTGTGTATAAAAATTATTCTGGAGATGAAAGATTCTATTTTTACAATGGTACGTTTTGCACATCCCTATTTATTACCATATTTAATCCTTAGCGATATAGGCATGAAAGTTAGCTAGTCCCTTTCTCTCAGCCCAAACCACCTTACAGAGTGGTTGTTGTGGAGAAAATAGAAGGAAGGAGTATTACGTATTTTCATCGCCTAAAGTTATTTATAAACGTAATAAAGGTGGGAGAAAAATAAATGTTCCTCTCTAAATCTATCATATTACTAATACCCCTAAGTGTTTATACTGTAAATTATTTACCTCCCTTTGGAAACAGTTGTGTTTTTTGATTGTGCCAACATTATAAAAGATACCTTTAAGACATTCCTGTTTCCTCCAATAGCAAATTGTTGGTATAGATGTTTTGAGATGTTTTGTATTGAATCTGAGTATTTTCTCTCTGAATATTTCCTATATTCAAATACATTTGTTTTCATTTTTGCAGGTTTTATTTGTGGCTGGCCTGGCTTTCGTAATTGGTTTAGAAAGAACTTTCAGATTCTTTTTCCAGAAACACAAAGTGAAAGCCACAGGTTTTTTCTTGGGTGGTGTATTTATAGTTCTTATTGGCTGGCCTCTGATAGGAATGGTCTTTGAAATTTATGGCTTCTTCCTCTTATTCAGGTAAGGTCTTCTTGAAAATTTGTATTTTTATTTAATTATATATCAAATGTATTAACCGCCCATCTCCCTCACAGGGAGACCATTTAATTTTGGTTCCATATGCTTTTGGTTGGCTGTCACTGAGAAATTGCCAAATTCTGCTCGAGGAGTTTGTAAACATTCCTTATTTCAGATATGTGAAGAATAGTGCTTGAAATCACAATTAGAAAAATATTTAGCTACTAGTGATGATGAAACTTCTAAGACAAAGAAAAGAAAAAATAGATAGAAATGTGGAAGAGAACAAGCTTTTTATTAGCAATCATTTCTCCTATAGAGTTGCATTTCATGGTAAGAACAAGTTGTTTCTTTCCTGTTGCACTGTTGGCAACAGGAAAAATGTGGTAGCTCCCTACACTGCTGGCTTGTGAATTCTGGCACACAATCCCAGGTGAATGCACCTTACTACCAAAAAGAAAATTTGCATAGAAGTAACTATTCATTTATTAGACTTATAGGCTACCTCCATCTGTATAACTGGGCAGCTTTCAAAATGCATGAATAAACACAATAAAACTACATAATGCGTTGTCCAAAAGAGTGCCTGGAGATAATCAACATTTAATGAAACAATCAAAGCATCCCATAAGGGGCTTACTGCTCATTGTAACGCAGGTGTGGAATGGAGCCAGGTTTTAAGGGCTCATTTAAATAAGGTCAGAAGTAGGGCAGGCATAAGAATCTCAGGTGGTGTTCCAAGGACAGACACCATGACACAGAAGGATTACTTCGTGGGTCCCACAAGGGATCAATGGGATTTAGAGCATGCCGACTCTGTCAAACCAGGTAGGCAGAGAAAGATAACCAGCTTTTGTAGAAATCTGTTTACTTGCTAGGTCGATGACAAATAGTTTGAAAGCTATAAATCTTCAGACCAGTGTGAATAATACTTCTGATTATTTAATAATCAGTTGCAGGCTTGCAGGTTTGTGTGTTCGCTTTTCTTTTGCAGATCTTTCTGCTTGTCTTACTTGGGGCTAAAAATTCCCATGCCATGATCAAATCCTTCCTTAGCAGTGCTTGAAATGATTACAGAACACTTCAGGTGGGGAGCTTGCTTAATGTAGACTATTCTCTGAGTTTAGTGAAGACCAGGAAAGTGAGGTTTGCACCAGAAAGTCAAATGTAAATATGTCAGTCTCTTCCACTGAATTTTAATTCCACTATCTCTTAAAATAAATGGTGGCTTTCCTAAACAAAAAGATGCTTAGGGCTGAATTCAGATTGCATTCATTCGGTATCCGAATACTGTATTCCCTACAGATTATGAACCAACAAGCCTGCACGTTGTATTAATTTGACAGGTATTTGTATAATTTGAGAACTACTCAAGTCATGATTTCTTAAATGATACCAGGTTAGAATGTATCAGATTATTTGTGAGATGATGTCTCTACTGAAGAGCATGGCATTAATTCAGTCATCATGCAACTCCCAGGTTTCAAGTTTGAAAACAGACAGGCAAATCGCTTTAGAATATAGAATTTTTTTGTTCCTTTCTGTGTTTTCTTCTGCCTCCATACTTCACCTCTGGTTTCTTTGCCTTTAATGATAAACTGAAAGATAAAATGAAAAGCATTTTGGAGTAAGTGTGGCTGATGGTAATTGTGTGATCCCAAGTGAATACACATTTGAATTAAGGAGGTGTCACCCTGCTAACACTGATTGTGGGTAAGGCTTTCACTTTTGGATATGAAGCCACAGCACATCCTTAGTGTAGTTATCTGAACATAATGTGGGTTGTGTTTGAATTCTGAACATTTATTCACACTTGCAATTAATGCACGATGATAGCAGATTCTGAGTGTGAACAAGGATGTGTAGATCCGTTTCTGAGTTCATAAACATTACAATACAGGTTGATTGCAACAAAGCTGTTACATTTGTTCATTCCTTAATCTTTGTTAATGAGGAACAATAGCAGATGTATAGGCTCACCTTGGGTCACATTATTACAGTTACTTCTTAACTTTGTTAAATTTTACCATTCCTAGCCTTGTAGGTTCATTGTAGTCACTTGTTACATGACAGTAGTTTCATTAATTGTACAGTGCAAATCCAAATTACCAGAGAGATTATTTTTAGCCATATAAAAGTTTAAATAATCATCAAATGATCAATGAGCTTCTTAAGTTCAAAAATTCCTACCGTTCTACTGTACATTGTAACTCAAGCAGTTTAATAATAAAAACAGTAAAAACTTCCGCTATGAGGACTGCTACAATGAGTAAGTGAATGAATGAATGAAGTAAATAGTAATTTGTAGTACCTTAAGACACCTACAAATATAAGAAGATTTAAGAGTACATAGGTTCCCCTTGTATACTAAGCTCCATGCTAAAGTTTAAATAAGCATTCTAATGTTTTTGCAACTCTTATCGAGATTGTTGCCATGTATATTTTTTGCTCCAGTTATCAATCTTTAGTTAACAAAAAAATTCTCTCTCACATGACATACTGAGGAATCTCATTGTTTGGCTCATGGGAAAGACATATGTTTAAAGGCATTTTTTTGTGAAATGGTGTCTTAGCCCCAGTTTGTTTCCATAATATATTACCTTAATTGTAGTTGAGGATATCACCTCGATACAAAGTAGGAACTGGCTAATAGCCATGAGCCCTCTAGGTTTATAAAATGCTTGTAGTGGCATCTCATCTGTTCCTGGGCTGATTTTCTCTCACGTTCACGTACAGATTTTCTCTCACGTTCACCTACCCACCCTCACGGAAAGTATGCAGCATACAGATTTTCAGAGCCAAAACAGCTGGAGGAAGGGGGAGCATTTCCCAACTGCCTGTGCAATGATTAATGATTCTTTTTTCTACAACACCAGTATATTATTGGGAATCCTTTTAAACTGCTTATTTCAATAACTTATCTTTCACAACCCTCTTCTAAAATTCAATATAATTCCTTGAAATGTTTCCAGTTTTCTGTGCCGAAAAGTGGTTTTCCTTGTAAGGTGGAAATGGAGAGAATTTGCATTTAGCAATAAGCTATAGCACTTAAATTTATATACCACTTCACAGTGCTTTATAGCCCCATCTAAGCAGTTTACAGATTCAGCATACTGCCTCCAACAATCTGGGTCCTCATTTTGCCGACCTCGGAAGGATGGAAGGCTGAGTCAACCTTGAGCTGGTGAGACTCGAACTACTGGCAGCTGGCAGTCAGCAGAATTAGTTTGCAGTACTGCATTCTAACCACTGCAACACCATGGCTCGCTGATGATTTAGGTACCTACAGCAGTACTAAGAGAAGTAGATTTACCTGCCCATCTGGGATCCTCTTAAATGTGTGACACTCTGATGTCAAGAAAAATATCAGTAGAACTCCAATTATAGGGGGGTGCTGCTTTCTGATTTTTGGGACCAAGCATTATAACCTATTACGTTCAGCAAGGCCCCTTGACCCTATTAGTACTTAACCAGCCCATTTTACAAGTCCCTAAGTTTGTATCTATAGAAATTGTGTGTGGATTTTCAGAATAATAGTCTTCACACAACCATACTCTCCTAATAAACTATTTAAGCAGTCTCCTTCCCAAATCTGGACTCAACAGTGACTATTTGTTGCATGTCATGTAACTGGTCCTGTCCATATTGTTTAAATGTTTCTATTACCCTGTGAGAAGCAAGGAAACTAATTAGGAAGCACATAAGTCTGTACAGGTAGTCCTCACTTTCTGACCATAGTAAGAGCAGTAACTTTGTTGCTAAACACTGCATTGTGACATCATGTGATGGCACCGACTTATGACATCAGTTCCTGTTGCAATTATTAAGTGAATCACCATAGGATGATGTCACATGACCATAACTTGTGACTTCTTGCCAGCTTCCCAGTCACAAATGGTAACTTTCAGCTGTGAAAGTCACAAATGGTGATCACATGACCACAGGACGGTCATTGTAAATGTGTCCTGATTGCCAAGCATCCAGATTGCAGTTGTGGTCATAGGGACGCTGTGATGTCCACAACCAGACATCTCTATTGCCATTGTAAGTTTGAATGGTCACTGAAAGAATCGTCAGTAAGCAAGGACTACCTATATCACTAACTACTTGAAATATGTAAAGATTTAGAGATGGGTACACTCTTCATTCTGAAAGGGGCGAATATATGTGATACGAGGAATTACACATTTCTTCATACAAAAAATAAACTTTTTTAAAAAAAATCTTAGGAATGTGTAAAGGGAGCCTATTTGGAAAAGTCTTCTAATCTTGTAATGTATTTTTTTTTTCTTCAAAGGGGCTTTTTCCCTGTGGTGATCGGTTTTATTAGAAGAGTGCCAGTTCTGGGGTATCTGTTGAATCTACCTGGTATAAGATCAGTAAGTATTAAATAATTTCACATAATACACAGCAAGTTCTGTTTTCTTTCTGTTTCTTGGATTCCATTTAAAGAACCTGGACCACCAGAGATGTGCATTCAAAATATGGGTCACCAAATGCTTATATTTGCCTTCAGGTAACAACGATAACAGGATTCAAAATTAATTCTGCATCAGGATAAGCCAGTCTTCCCTATCCTTATATTTATTCTCCAGATTTTTTGGGACATCATCTCCACATGTTTAAGGTCAGAAGAGACATAATTTTACCCTGAGTTTTTTTTTCTCTACTTGAATTTGAATTAGGACAATTTTCATACAATCACTCACAGGGTGTTTTTTTTTACTTATCTTGCAGCTTATCCAGCAAATTGAGTTTAAAAGCTGGTTTGGTATAGAAATGGATTGGTCCTTTAGTTTCAAGAATACATTGTTGATATGCATAAATTGTCATGTCACATGTAAAGCCCCCATCAGATTTACTCAAGTCCCTTTGTCAGTATAAATCACAGGTTTGTGAAAAACTACTTACCTCCTTTAAACATTTCTGAATTTTTGCATTTTTCCCCATTGATTGTTGCCAGTGATTCATTTAAGTCTTCCTGGCATATAAAGGAAGTCTGAATGAACAAATAACACAAATAAAAATCCAAAATGGGCAAATACTTCTTGACAGAACTGTAGCTACCATTTATGAAGCTTAATATAAAAACATTATTTTTCCCAAGCTTAACAAATAGGTTCTACACTCTCTCCTCATTTAGTGATTGCATTCTGTTCCACTGACTTTTTTGTTAAATGAAATGGTCGCTAAGTGAACATGTGACTCAGAGATGATACAAAAATCCCTGGTTGCCACTGTGTAATTCAGATAAAATTCTCTCCTACAGTGTCTTGTGCCTGATATTTTTGTTGCCCCCTTGCAGAGTGGAGAGATCACTTAAACTGTCTCTTATTGAGCTGCTTTTCTCCGCAAGACTTCCTTAAAATGTGTTAACCTCCAGTTAAGACTCAGCTCAGTGACCTTAATTAATTGATTAAGAAACCTCCTCCCCTTTGTAGTGCAGCTTCAAAGTGACCAGACCTTAATCAGTTTTTCACACTGAAGGTTTTTGTTGTCAGGTGCCCCAAAATTGGAGGGTATTGGTCAGAAATTGAATTTTTGGCCACCCTGTATTACTGCCATCTTCGCAACTGGTCACTAAGTGAGGACTATCTGTAATGATTTTCCAATTCCAGTTTGAGGCGACAACCTAACATTCTCTAAAACCATTGGAGCCTATGAATGAGAAGGACAGTTGGGAGAGAGCAAGAGAGAATTTTTTCTTTTAAGACTGCTAAGTGTCCGTTTTCCTTAAAATGGGCTTGTGTCTTGTTAGGTGCATTAATTATCCTCCTCCCCCCAAAAAATATATATATATAAAATAATGGGGAACATTTAGAGGGTGCTTGAGAACTATCTTCAGAATGCCCTGCATGTATATACAGTATGAAGGCTTTCAGAAAAGGTTTCACTCTAGGAAAGTTGAGGCAGCTGAGAAAACAATCGAGTGACAGGAAAGGCATCAAGAGCTTCTCCACATGCCATTTTATTTTAAGCATTCTTTTTTCCTATTTTGTGCACCAAGACTGTCAGGAGCAGTAAATTAAACCAAGCAAATATAACAGATTTATTGTTCATGGGTCATTAAAAGGAGACAGTTCAACTATCACCTGGGCTCACCTGTTGCTTTTGCTAGCATCTCACACCCTAATTTGGGTATAATGGTTTCTGGAGGTACAGAATAAGGATGGGGAATCTTCCCAGCTAAAATATGCTCCAGACAGCTTGTCAAATAATAGCAAGTTGTCGTATATTGCTGAGGTGAAATCCAACTGCAGGGGGAGTTTCCAGAAGGGAATATGGGCATCTGGCAGGCCTCACCAGGCGTATCCAAGACTGCCTATTGCCCATGTCCATCTTTACAATGGTCAATGCTCATAAAACAACATGGCAGCATCCTTGTGGATGTTGACACATTTCTTTACAGCTGTGATTATTCTCTATCTCTAATTTTGCATTTCTGAACATGTTTAATATTAAACATGCAGTGGCTGGCATTTGTTCAAGGTGCATTATAAATTGAGAATTCTAAATAGGATACATATAGACATATATCACGTTTTCAGGATATAGCTGCAATTACACTTAGGCTAGGAGAAGCATGCTGCCCTTTTCTCGGCCTGGCAGTGTGCCATGCCAAAGATTGGCATATTTTGCTTTATTGCTGCAGGAGCCTCTGAGCCCCACATCGTGCCTGTAGTTCCCAAGGCATCAGTATGTCTAATGGATTAAAAAACTTAGTTAATACAGCTGGGTTTTCTTTTTATATTAAATCTACTTAAATAAGTCTGTTCATAATTTGGCTTGACATCTTGCTTATTGCTTTCCTGTATCAATATCATTTATAAACTGGACTTTATGGAGTTAAATCCTTTTGGAAAAGTTAATTCTTGATGTTTTCTTCAAAGCCTGCGTAGGTTCAGGAGACAATTCCCAGTAATGGTTAGTTGAAAATATCATTTTCAGTCTATTAATGCATGAATGGCTGATTATTTTTCAAAACAATATTCTTTTCTCCCCCCTTTGGGTTATTGAGCTAACGGTTTTTATACTTGCATTATTTCTGATTTATTTATTTATTTTCATTCTGTTGCATCTTCATGTTGCTCTGTGTTAACATAAAAACATACCATGGCTAAATGCGGTTGTAATGCAAACGGTCTTACTTTGTGTAAACTACATAAGGCCTTGGATAGTATTGTTTGAATAAGATTATACTACACCCAGTCACTCACTTAAAATGCAAGTGTTGAAGTAACATCAATGTGTTCCATTCTTAATGAGTGTATTAAATTACAATTTCTTTTCCCTACCCCGATTCCATCTTCCCTTCTGTCTCCTTTGCCCACAGCTTGTAGATAAAGCTGGAGAAAGCAACAACATGGTATAATGATTGACAAAGGTCCTGAAGACTGGTTCTAAATTTATATTATTTATAAAACCTTCATGAAGATCGGTCAGTCCAGCACAACGATTTTGTTGTATACAAAGGCAACATTTGTAATGGTCTTTGAAGTAAGTTTCCAATTTACACCATAGTATACAGTAAACCTATTTAATATATAAAAAAAAAAGAGAAGCAGAAGCAAATTTGCAACCTGAGACTTGGCATTGACATACCAGGAATGCTGTGAACTCAACTGGCGAAAAAGTCACGGAATGTTAGAACTCTTCAAGACTTCTTCATGTTTTTGGAGTACAAGCTAAATGCAGCAAACTCCATGGAATTAACAGTGCCTGTCATTTTTACCTCCTTACGTCGGAAAGTGTAATAGAGTGATCATGGGTCAGTTGGTAAGGCGTGGCCCTTCTCTCTTCCTGCCTGCCTGCCAAATTTCCTACTTCCTCCCCTTTTTTTGGAAGGGGGAAAAAAAAATCTTCTCCCAACTGTTTCTTCTATTGAAAGCGAGACAGCTTCCTTACGCTTGATTCACACGGCGTTTAAAATGAATTCTCATTTTTAACAGTAGCAGAAGACTCCATCACACGGTTCAGCTGTATAAATCTCTCTGTAAATAGACGCGGAAATAAACCTTTGTAGGAAAATGTTTCCAGCCAAATGTAAATTTTCATTACCTACATCTTTTACCTTTGGAATATGCAAAAAAAAAATCATTTTTTTGTACGGAATTGTACAAAACTGTGTTAAACCATTCCTGGGTTCGTTAGATGTTTGGTTTGGCAGGGAATGGGGAAACCATTTTTACACTCCTTTCTACTGGTTCTCTTTATCCCAATTACTGGTAAGTGTTGGAAGCAAGAAGTAACCTTTTCCTCATTGAATAAACTATGTGCACATAATATGTAGCTCCTGAAGTGAGTTGCTTTGCTTCATGATGTTCACACAGTTTATGAAACGGGAGTTGCCTAGCTCGCAAATTTGTGCAAGGGCATTTCAATCCCGAATCTTGTTTTTAGTTTGGTTATTGGTAGCCAACATATAAAGTCCTAAAGCATGAAGCATCATGTTTTGTTTACTGGCAATATCTGAGATCCAGGAGCTAGATTTGAAGGACTGAGCTTAAGCGTCCCATTCTTATTCTGAGGGAGCAAGTTACGAAGCTAATTTATTGTGTGTATAACCTTTTCTAACCATCAAACAAATCAGCCAGTTTGCTGGGAAGTCTTGGGAAATCATATTAGTAGCCTTGATCAAGTAGCACATTAATTTGTTATATTTTGACTATGAGAAACAATTCCTATTGCTACAAATGGCAAGATTCAGAACTTTTATGGACATTTAACTGAACTGGCAAAAGAGGAAATGTGAATGACTTAAGCCATAGAAAAATCACATTGTTCTTTTTTCGGACCCCTTCTTGCAGTGGCTCTTGATGATAAATTTGTCCTGACTACTTTAGTTGAAGCAAGCAAAGCTATTGATTTCTTTAAATCTGAATGGTTCAAACAGCCAGACAAATACCTTGGAGTGAATAAACACTAGTGACTAATACCCAAGGATGGGAACTATTTTGTTCTTTAAATGTGCACTAAGTGATTCTTTAAAAGAACTTTCTGATGAGACGAATTGATTTTGTAAAGCTGTGAAAATCATTTTTGAATTGGCGCTTCAAGGGACAGTTCTCCGTGAGCTTTCCCATTGTAGAGGAGTTAACAAAACAAATATTCCATTATGGATCATTCTGATCCCAAAATAGAGCACTCCCAATTTTGAAACAAATGGTCCTTGTGTTCTGGTGTAGTCTGATACAAAATGGGCCTGCTATGGTGTTTGGGCCACTTCCAAAAACATTCGGAACATCCTGTTCCAGAGTTGCAGTATTATATGATGGAACAATTGACACACTCCTGACACATTTCTTTGATTTCATCTTGGGAGAAGTATCCCTTAAGAAAGGATGTTTTTCTTTCTTAAGGGGTGGTGGTGGTTCCGTAAGAGCAGCAGGCAAGTGTATGGACGTGCACAGCTCCATTTGCACGAGTGGCTGGCAAGCACACCTGCCGCTCGCACAAATGGAACATGTGCGCCCACATTTCCCGCAGCTCACGTGAGGAGGTGCCCATGTGCGTACTCGCCCACCACTTCCACAGCCCGGTTCTGGAGGACTCGGGGCCGGTAGTGGGCCACGGCCTGGGGTTTAGGGAATCCTGCTTTAGGCAGTTGGTTGTTTTCAGTCTTAAAATAGATGTAATTGATCTAATTGTCCCTACAACACTGGTAACATGGGGTGTTGTTTTATATTGCAGACTCTGTCTCTAATTATTTTAAATAGAATCCTGTTGAGTAGGCCATGGTCAAAACATAAACCTTAAACATGTTTGCTATGTATGCTCTAGTTTGATACTTTGGCTGTAGAAAAGAATTTTTAACTGACTCTCATATTTTAAACCATTTCAGTTGCAGTTTGTGGGCTGGGAGAGATGCTTAAGATTTGGAGCAATGCACATGTCCTTAGAGCTATAAATTTGGGTTTCATCAGATGTTTTGCAACCTCAGGAGTCTTTCCAGAAGGATCAGCTGCCAGATTATCTTCCTTACATTTTACAATGAGCCTCATTTGAGTATTGAGTCTCCAACACCACACTACTACCAAGTAAGATGGATTCTTAATGCAATAGGAATAAAAATCTTCCTATTTCTGTTTCTTTTCCATGTTGTGAAGGTAGCAGAGGAAAACATTGCTTCCAGTCATTTTGGGGCATAATCCCATCAAAACATCATCAGGCCTCCATCGTTTAATTTATCATATCCATGTGACATTCTGGTTAAGTCATAATTTACTTAAATGTAGGTGAGACATTGGTTAAATAGCAAACTGTGTCATGGTGCTCTAGAAAATAAAGCGAAGACAATTTGCTTCTTACACTGGCCACTTTGGATGGCATCCTTTCACTTTTCTGAGATTCTCATTAAAATTCAGAACACTTTTTAAAAAAAAATTCAAAGGGGTCGTTTTTTAAGTCAGCAGAGTGCAATCTAATACCACTGCTGTTCTGTTGCCTTGCCAAACCCTCCTAGAAAACCCTCTAAAGTTGCTTATGAACGAATGGAAGGTTGTAAGTGGTAGTATATTTCTCTTTCACAAAAAAGGAAGGAGCCAGAGAATTTGATTTGATTTCAACTAGTTTGCTGTGTTGTGTGGTTTAAAACATACTATTACATTTACGTTCAGGCAGCCAGGGAGCAAAATACAATCCTTGCAACTTCTAAGATCCTACCCTTTAGCAGTCACAAAATTAGTTTTTATAGAATTGGCATTGCGATAGAAGATGATTGAACGATTCTTTAACCTTAAGGCTGTCTTATGTTTGTATACTTGGGAATCATTGTGCTCACACTACATTGAGGCTCATCTCCAAGGGTAAACATACCTGAGCCTCGTATGTTGTAATCATTTGCAGAAATAATACCTTCTGTAACAAATAAGATCTCCCTATTTAAGTGTAATTCTTGATTGCTTGAAAAAAAAATCCCATAAAAGATCTTGTTTTGGAGAATATATTGTAAATATACTTGTCATACCTTGAATAAATGGGTACTTTTTCTACGTACTAATCGCCAATCGTGTCATTACCTGGCTATTAAAATGCAGGATTTTTCCCACTATCTAGGAAAAGAAATCTGTTAAGCTATATATACCAGTGGTACCTTGCTACTCGTCATTAATTGGTTCTGGGAAGCGCAATGACAATGAGTACCAAAAACAATGAGTACCAAACAACGTTTCCCCATAAGAAATAACATAGTGAGTCACAAGGCAGCTGACACCGACAAATTCTAGCTTGGGTGTCGAGTACCAAACAAACTGAGTAACGGGACAAAATTTTCGTGACCAAATACATTGAGTACCAATTTCGATGAATTTCAAAGCAGATGAGTACCAAGGTACCCCTGTAGGTTTAGAGGGGGTGCTTTATCCAGTTTCCTTTATAATGAGGTAGAAAGGTGTGATGGACAAGAACAGAGAAATCTGGGCTCTAGTTTGGCTAAGTCAGGGGTCTCCAACCTTGGCAACTTTACGACTTGTGGACTTCAACTCCCAGAATTCCTCAGCCAGCGCATGCTGGCTGAGGAATTCTGGGAGTTGAAGTCCACAAGTCGTAAAGTTGCCAAGGTTGGAGAGCCTTAGTCTAAGTGACTTTGGGCCAGTCCCCTCTCTTAGCCCCTAAGTAAGGAAACAAAGAAAAACCACTTCCAAAATATTATCTAGAAAGCTTCATGGACTTGCTCTGTAATTACCAGGAGGCAGGACAAAACAAAGCAAAAAAAATAATCACAGAATTGGTTAAATCAAAATCAAACCATATTTTGGGGTAGCATGTCTTATCTAATCTAGAATCCTTGTTCATCGGAATCTGAGCATCTCGCTCTATTTTTGTTAACCATACAAAAGGGCTTGCTAGGATCAGCACATTAACATGAGTAGGATGGAGCATTTAGTTTGCCCGTTAGTGTTTTACTGACATTGGCTGCCTTGCGCCTTAACAAAATACATATTTGTGTCCCTGATTCCTTTTTTTTGGGGGGGGGATCATGTTGATTAAAGGAGTTGTGAAGGTTTTTTTTCGCAGCTAGATGTTAAAAATCCTGATCCAGATAGAATTGATCATGAATGGAGGGAAGCAGGTGAATATGAATTCACATCTACTTGGCCACAAAGTTATACTATTCATTTTGCTTGCAAAAAGTAATTGCCATTAAGATCTCTCACCATTACAACGAACAATTCCTAAACAATTTGGATCTCCAAGACTGCAGAAAGTAGCTTAGGCCAGGGGTTTCCAAACTTGGCAACTTTAAAACTTGTGGACTTTTTAAATGTCAGAATTCATGCTGGCTGGGGAATTCTGGGAGTTGACCACAAGTCTTAAAAGTTGCCAAGTTTGAAGATCCCCTGCTTAAACTTAAAAACTCAACCTTCACTCCTGAATCCAGGCAGCACCATGAAAAGCTATAAAGTATCTTATTTCCAAAGTCCTTAAATGCCTGTTGGGTACTATTTCCTTTATAAAGCTGTTAGATCTCCAGTTGTTACACTGCCCCAAATGAGCACAGAGGGCCAAAATCCATTCATTAACCTACACTATTCACTGATTTTATGACTTCATCATTTTCTTCTTCCCGGTTAATTATGTGGCAGTTTTGGAAGGAATCCAAAATTTTATGAAGCTACTTAACAGCACTAGGATTCCAGGATGCAGAGTTTTGCTTTAAACCTAAGGATTAGAAGGATGCTAACGTGTCTCTTGCCTGATCCATTAACCAATTCCCTTAAGTGGACTCCAGAGGATGGTAGAGGACAGGAAGGCCTGGAGGAACATCGTCCATGGGGTCGTGATGGGTCAGACACGACTTTGTAACTAAGAACAACAAATTCCTTATATCCCCCTACAGAAATAATTTATGCTGCAAGTAGAATTGATCAGAGTTCAAGAAACAGCTTTGGAATTGATGCAGCTTGCTCAGTGAGTGCCTACGAAGTGTTTACTGCCTGAAATATGAGTGCTAAGTGTCACTGTAATTTCACACACTGGTAATATCCCAGTTTCATCGAAAGATGGAAGGCTTTAAAAACATATTCCTTACTGTGGCTTGCCATAATGCCAAATTTATTTATTTATTTGCTAAATTTATTTGCCACCCATCTCAACATGGGGCTACTCTGAGCAGCTTATAACAATAAAATTGGGGAAAGTGATAAAATATAAACATCTGGTTTGTTTGATGTTGGCTTGTCATCTTGTTATTATCTTACTAACGGAAACCAATACCGTATATGAAAAGTCACAAGTGAAAGCAATCCTAGTAAACCAGTATGTTCTACAAGTCAAATGTTTCCTCTTTAAGTCCTACGCATTTGAAGACTTTCTGCATTTAGATATATCTTCAATGATAACAGCTTTGTTACATTAAAAAAACACATAATATTGTATTAAAAATACATAATATCTCAACTAGATGTCTATGGAGATTCTCAGTCATCCAGGTCATGGTTGTCTCAAAGATGCTTTTTTTTCAACTGAAGAAGCTTCTTGGATGAGAAGTGAAACGTCTTCAAAGAAAACCAGAAAGTCCAGTTGCCTCTTGGAAAAAAAAAACACCTTTGGGACAAATCTCAACCAAATATTTAATTTATGAACCATGATTTATGGTTTAGCCCAGTGTGTCAACCAAGGCAGTAGTGCTTTAGTCACTAAACTAAGATTAAATTATCACTTAATAGAATATACAAACCCAGCCAGTTTAATACATCTTTCCTGGCCTGTAAAGGCCATCTTCTATACTTCACAAATAATATTTGATTTATATAGCCATCCACCTTAGGCAGCATATCCTGGGTGGCCCCCAAACAATAAAAAGCTTAAAATTCAATATACTTTATAGTTCTACATGACTGGCTAAGCCAAGATTTACAGCAGTAGCTTAACTGCAGGAGCTGAGTTCACAAAACACAATGAAACATAAGCACAACCCTCTTCATAATGGCATGGTATACAAGAGTCCCCTACTTGGATTCAAGGTCTGTACGAAAGTGACTGGGCTTGTTTTCTTCTGGATTTTGATTGATTTTCCATTATGGTCTACAGAAGGGTCTCCAAATTGGCAACTTAAAGACTTGTGGACCTCAACTCCCAGAATTCCTTGAGCCAGCATAGCTGGCTCAAGAATTCTGGGAACTGAAGTCCACAAGTCTTTAAGTTTGAAGGTCTATAGCCTTAAGATTCCCTAGAGCAGGGCTGTCAAACTCCCGGCCAGCAGGCCAGATGTGTCATTTGCTGGCCATGCCCACACCCAGGTTAGTGAAGGGGGGAAAAGTCCCAATACGTCATGTGACGCTGCCGTGATGATGTGAGTTTAACACCCGTGCACTAGATGTTCTCCACCCAGCTAACTAGCCAAATAGACACAGAGACAGAGAATTCTTTATTGGCCAAGTGTGATTGGACACAGAAGGAATTTGTCTTTGGTGCATATGCTCTCAGTGTACATAAAAAGACAAGATACATTCATCAAGAATCATAAGGTACAACACTTAATGATAGCTATTTGGTACAAATAAGCAATCAAATCATACTAGGAAACAATGTAAATCATAAGGATACAAGCAACAAAGTTACAGTCATGCAGTCATAAGTGGGAGAAGATGGGTGATAGGAACAATGAGAAGACTAATAGTAATACAGACTTGGTGAATAGTTTGATGGTGTTGAGGGAATTATTTGTTTAGCAGAGTGATGGCGTTCGGGAAAAAATTCAACCCTCTTTCCCTTCCTAGTCTAAACAAGGTGAGACAAACTGTTGAAACCCTAACAATAAACCATATAATAGTTTAATGCAATGCCCAGCTTCTTCAAGCATGATGAAAACATCTGGTTCCTTTTCCTGAGCCAACAAATGAAGACATTTATGGGTTTGAATCGAGGGCCTGTATTTTGTTACTCTGGGTTACTGTGCTGTGTGAAGGTAAACTAGTCAATGAGTCTTACCTCCACCCTCTGAAATGATGCTCCGTGGTGAGAAATCTTGTGAACTATTCTCACCCCAAAACTGGTCTAGCCAGTTCAGTTACTGGATGGTATTTTTGTAGAGCTGGTTGAGCATCATCATTCACTGCTGACTTATTATTTGAACATTTCCATGGTAACCTTCACTCTCTGCCTTCTGACCTTGTAAAGACTTATTTGCATCTTCCTTTCCGCTCTGTTAAGACCTGAGGATGGTGATCAAGAGACACTGATGGAAGAAGAAAGAAGAAAGCAGAGCTTGGTTTGGCTCGACGACTTCAATCAGCTCAGGCTGCTTTGCTAAAATGGAATGTTTGTACCACTTCAAATACCGCAGCATCTCATATTTCAAAGGGGAGTCTCTGGAATTGCAAACGTGTCAATATATTTCAAGTTCCATCTGGATACAGTGTGGTGGAATGGTTTGGGACGTGGAGCAAGTTGAAGGCCTGTCAATCCTGACCTGACCGAAGTCATTTTTGACAGCTTCGGTGTTACCACACTGGAGCTGAGGGATAGGGAGGGGGAGAGTTGAGATAGTTGGGATTCTGTAGCCAAAACAAAATTTCTTGCCACTGTTGTTACGTGAATCATTGAATTTGTTAAATTAGTAACATGGTTGTTAAATGGATCTGGATTCCCCCTGTGGTGGGTTTCAAAAATTTTTTACTACCGGTTCTGTGGGTGTGGCTTGGTGGGCGTGGTTTGGTGGGCGTGGCGGGGAAGGATACTGTAAAATCTCCATTCCGTCCCCAATCCAGGGGAAAGTTACTGCAAAATCCCCATTCCCTCCCGATTAGTTGGGACTTGGGAGGCAGAGAATGGATGGGGGTGGGGCCAGTCAGAATTTTACTACCGGTTCTCCAAACTACTCAAAATTTCCACTATTGGTTCTCCAGAACTGGTCAGAACCTGCTGGAACCCACCTCTAATTCCCCCATTGACTTTGCTTGTCAGCAGGTTGAAAAAGGTGATTGCGTGACCCCAGGACACTGCAACCATCATAAATATGAACCACTTGCCAAGTATCTAAATTTTGATCACAT